GCGCCGAATTAGACAACGACTTAAAGGTTCATATTAAAAGTTCAAAAGCTTTCAAAAACCTCAAAAACAACCCAAAATGAACTTGAGTGCATATGTTAGATATTTATCACGAAGAAGTTAGGAAAGAAATAGAAATTCTCCTTTTGTTGCAGTGATTACCGATGAAACGACAGACGTTGCTTGTGAATTTCAATTAGTTATAGTTTTCAGACGTTTGTGTAAAGGGCGACAGTTGTGAAATTTTGGAGGTTTTACATGCTCGATTGACACGACGCCAAATCAATCGCTGAATGCATTTTAAATGTTTTACATCCAGTATTAAAACATAGTCCAAATAAATTAATTGCTCAAAGCTATGACGGCGCGTCTAGAATGAGTGGTGGATTAAATGGTGTGCAAAAATTATTAAACAAACATATCCTCTTGCAAATTACGTTCATTGCTATGCACACCAGGTAAATTTAATTATGACAAGTGCATGTTCTGTCAATAAGCAGGCTAAAATATTTTTCCGCCTACCTCTATCCAAAGTATACATTTCATGACCTCATTACAGGGAGCAAAGTCGTACTTTTCCTCCCTAGGGAGGAAAAGTACAGTACTTTTACTCCCTAGGGAGTAAAAGTGACGTATGGTATGTCATAAATGAAATAGCTTATACGGCATTGACGACCTTAACTATATTCTATTATATAAGTATAAATTTTACCGTTTATTTATACAACACCCTGTATTATGCAAAATAGTAAAAATCAGTAAATTGTTATTTTAATATAACGATTTTTACATTAATAATTTGACTTCAATTCATAGATTCATCCGATTTTCGAATTTAGGACAGAAATATTAGCATGCTATGGTCGATTGACAGATCAGTTTCAAAGTGTGTTATGCTATAATATATCTACAAAATATAAAATAATATTTAAAAAATGAGTGATTCAAGCGAATTTGAAGATATAAATAATACACCACCGGATATTTTGGAACAGGTTAATGCAACAGTACAATATTGGTATATACAGGGAGTTAAAAAAAAAGTGTCACAAAATGAAATGGTGAATAGTATGACCCAAAATAAGCAGAAAAGTCTTAATAAATATATGACCGCAAATTAACGTTTTCGGAGATACGGACCATTTTGTGTTTATAACAATTTATTATTATAAAAAAACAATGATATTTATAAACAATCAATAACAACATAGAGTTAAATGAGATGTTCAAAGTGCCCTCCCTCCATTTCAATGCATTGCCATTTGCACGACCTTACATAAAATGCATGTCAGCTAATTCAATATTAGTGTAAACAGGCATAACGAAAATTTATAAAATTATTCACCCACAACAAAATAATAACTGCAAATAGTATCTATGAAAAAACATCGGTAGACTCCGATAAGAAAAGCAAGTTTTTGAGAATGAAAAAAGATAATCAAAAAATGATACAAAACACTCCGTATCTCTGAAACCATTCATTTGCGGACATATGTTTATTAAGACTTTTCTGCATATTTTGGCCCATACTACCCCCAGTTTTATTTTGTGACACTTTTTTTTAACACCCTGTATACGGGGGTACAATCTCTATTACCCCAAAAATATAAAGAAAAATACGAAAAACAGTTTTTACATTTCAAGCAATGGGCCGAAGAAAAGCATATTCGTACTTACTCAGAAAATGTTATTTTGGGGTATTTTTCGCTATTAGCAAATACATTAAAAGCCTCTACATTGTGGTCCAAGTATTCAATGCTACGTACCATGCTTCAAATAAAAGAAAATGTGGATATTAAATACCCAAAATTAATTGCTTTCTTGAAAATAAAACCAGGGATATAAACCTAATAAGGCAAAAACCTTCTCAAGAGAGGAAGTAAATAAATTTTTACTAGAAGCCCCCGATGATAATTATTTATTGATGAAGGTAAGATATTTTAAAGAAGTAAATATATTTAAAAAATAAAAGTTAAACGGCAAATATTATAAATAGAGCTACAACAATACGCTATGTTTAGAATTCCGCAAAAGTTGACTGTAAGTTTCGGTAGCGCAATTATAAGGGGTTATGATTGACAAATAATGTTATTTTTAACAGACACGTTATTTGTGAACAGGTTGTAATTTCTGTCTTTATAAAATAACAGACCTGTTAAAAATAACAGAGTTTGTCAATCATAACCCCGATTTGGTGCACCGCTCACTGTCCTTGATAGGCGTTGGTTCAAATTCCAGCGTCGACGGCTTTATTTTTTTTTCTTCTTTTTAATTTTTTTTTTTAATTGTTTATCTTTGTTTTGTAGGTTCTCCTCATTTTCGGAATTTCAGGAGCATGCAGATGTGACGAACTCCTTAAAATAGTAAATACCAGATTCTAAAACAAATATACAGAGAACGTTTGTAATCAATGCTTCACCGGGGAATGGCCCTAATTATATTGACATTTATAGAAAATATATATCGCTACGCCCTAAAACAATCGTTTATTTGTCTGCTATAGAGCAGGAAAATGTATCAACCAGATGGTTGGAAAAAATACTATTGCTAAAATTCCTAAAAACTACATAAACTCTTAAATAATAAAGTTGATAGCTCTGAATTGTTATATAAGATTGATTTTCCAAGTTCCTAGACTTCTAGGCATAATATACCATTTCAATGAAAAAGAACTCAAACAAATTTAATGCAAAAATCTCCAATAAATTTTATGTGTAGTAATGTTATCAAGATATCTCAATTTTGTGATATATTTTGCTGTACCATATGTGAACTAAAAAACAAAACTCGTGCACACCTTTAAGGTACCATTTCGGTAGCCGCGTCAGGAGACCAGTAGTACGACAGATGTATAAAGGTTACGCTCCGTACATTTCGGAATCTTGAAGAAGTGTCGCGCGACACTGGCAAATAACCATTCGAGGGAACGATCAGCGTTGCCAGACCTACTGTTTTTACGTAGATCCAGTGTTTTTGTCTTTAGTAAATTTGTTCTTAATTTATTAAGTTTGCCTCATTCTTCAGCAAATGGTTAAAGAACATTTTCTCTAGCAAATTTTCTGCAGTAGAAGCAGCGTAATAAGCATCCACTACTGTAAAAAAAAAACATCAAGATAATCATTGTTTTTATTTAAAACAAAGAATTAATAGGGCATCATAAAAAGAACATGCATATTCCAAACACTACGATTTTGAATTATCTGATTCAGACTGATCTAAAAGAAGTAGGTACTTATTATTTTTCATTGGTTTTTTTCCCGTACGTTAAGTATATAATAAAAATGTTTTTATTTGTTTTTATTCTTTCTTTACTTTCTAATTTGGGTAGAAAAAAGTTTATTTTTTGTTTATTATATACTTGTTTTTTTATTTACTACACTGCAAATTATAATTATTTCTTCCTGTATTAAAATCTACGGTTTTTTTTTACCCATACTGTTCCAAAATCTGGCAACGCTGCCTAGATCGAAAGAAATTTCCAACCTAATCACCCCCAAAAAGAAGCGATGCCCAAGGAGAGTGACCTCGAGTGCGACACTCCGAGGACAGTGACCCCGAGACAGATTCAGAAGTGTCGGCAGGAAGTGTCGTCTTGACGACATTTCTCGTGTCGCGCCGTGCGAAATGTGTTTCATATAATTGTATGTATTTTAGATGTGAAGCGACACTTCTCGGTCGCGTCGGCGGTCGTATGTCGCGTCGGCGGTCGTCTGTCGCGCCTACCGAAATGGTACCTTTAGTTTATTTTTTTTTGTGTTTTGGCTTTTTTTGGTTTTTAGTAGATATAACATTATTTTGCTAATAATAATTAAGAGCTTATTTTATTCTATATTTAAGTTCTTAACTAAATAGTTTTAATTAGTACATTTTTTTAGTAGTGCTGTACTGATATTTAAATTTAATTTAACTTTTATTCTTAAGTTTTTGTATTTGCTCTGTAAATGGTTTATACTGTTGGGCAATAAACGCTATTATTATTATTATTATTATCATAAATAACTAATGTATCTATGAACTTATGAAAACAATTTCAATTAATATGTGAATTATTATGAAAAATGGCAGTCAAAATTACTTTAAAGCTAAAAGCATTAAGTAAATACACCTACTTGAAAATTCAAACAGAAAAACTTGGTAATATCTTTTTCTTTCGATACTTCAAAATCAAATTAATAAAATTCTTGAGGGGGCTCAATGGCTAGTGTTTGGTCTTTCGGATCCCGCTGGTGAAGGGATTTTAATTAATTTATTTAAAAATTAATCCTAATGTACAAGCAGGATTCTCCACCCGACCATTCACTGTTAGGATCTAATTCACAGTGATATTCCTAAAGAAATTTCTGCGCCCAACACCTTAGTTGATGCTGATGACACCAAATAAAAATCTTGCCAAATTATTGCCATTTGCTCCTGGAACCAGAATATTTTTTATTTGGTCTTTCCCCATAAAAAAATCAAAGTGTGTTAACTCCGGAGACCACACTGGCCATGCGAATTTTATTTTGAAGTTTATAAACGATCAATCAAACAGCAAGGGAACAATTCAGATAAGTATCTGATCGAAAAGAAAATATAGAAGGTTGTTTAAGACACAACATAGAGGAGATATCAAAAAATTTTTACAAAATAAGTCCACTTACCTTCGTAATTTCTCTTTTTCTCCGATATTGTAACAGGATAAAAACACTGCATAGGTTTTTATTTAATTTCCTATCATTATTAATTTGACGGTTAAATTTAATTTTGCTCGTTCTATAAAAATTAGCGTAAGAAACTTAAAATTCAGGCAAACAGTACCAATAATTGTAATTTTAAACAAATTCTGCGCCAATTGTCGAGGAAATCAATAAAAAAAACGAATGCTTATATTAAACGTTTAATTTTTTTTTATTAATGAAACAAAAATCATAAACTCAAAACGTGAATAAATTAATTCGATAACCATAAAAATATTGCAATATAGTCGAGCTATAAATGAGGCAAAATATTCTATTCCAAAAAGAAAAGTTACATCTGGTTTTTGGAAGAAATTGAAACCAAAGAATATATTTTTTTTAATTTATAGATTAGTCAAATTCATAATATTTAATTACAGTTAATTAAATGCTGAAATTTTCTCCTTCCTCCAGATTTACACAATATTTAAAAATAAATCACATTCAATCCAAATTTCCTCCAATTTTTTTCGCCTCTTCTAAGCCCACACATTTAATCCTTCTATTAACTATATATTCAGCCTTATTTAAAATCCTCAGTTCCACTCGTCATCAGATCCTACCCCGTGATCCGTATTTCTAGCTAACATGTAATTATCCATATCGATCGATTTGCAATTGTTAATTGAATACCTTAATTTCTCCGCCATTATGTCCTGCGACGTGTACGGGGGTAATCGGAGTTGAAAGAAGCACGTCTGCGCTGTCGGTAAGCCATTCACGGCTTTGTCCACTTTCATAACCTAAAATTTTTACGTCAAATATCAATGAAATAAAGCGTATAAATAACAAGAGAAGATAATAGAAAGAGATAGAAGATCTACACTCTAATTCAAAGAGATTTAAAGGAATTTTAAATTGATTCAACATTTCCATATCAAATGACGCCCAACGTGGGGCAAGATTATAAAAGGGAGTTTTAAATTTTGGAAAATATCAAGATAGTTTATATCTTCGTTATTATTGGTGCGATTTGACTGATAAAAACGTTAGGCGATTCGAAATGTCAATAAGATTGAAAAACATGCACAGTAGGACAACAAAAGCAGCTACGACTAAACAACCCTGTAAGTATAAACAATAAATTAATATGAATGAAATTTTAATACCTGAAACCGCTGAGACAAGTCAGCCAGGTTCGCCGGCAGTCTTGATCTCCCGGATACGAATCTCATAAACAAAACTCTCTCATTATCGGTAAAATTCTCTAAAATATTCCACAGCCATTGCACTAATTGATGACTTTCGTCTAATTCTCTGTATCTGAAAATAATAATTATAAGTATATTAAGTAAGTAAGAGATGTGATCAAAAAATACAGTGAATACATTTTTTTAAAAGCAATGTAATTTGATGATGTAATTTGTCCGATAGTCTCATCCCTTGAGACAGGCAGCATCAAGTTGGAACACGTTTGGCTTGTTAGTCAGCGTCCAGGGCCGGTAGAGTGAGGTTGTGTTTACCGCGTCTGTCGTGTATTATGGATTTCGAACAACATGTGAACATTAAGTAATGTTTCAAGGGGCAAAGAAACTCATGAAATGTTAAGAGTTTAGATCTCAAAAAAATTTATAGTTCCTGTTACACTTTTTGATATATTTTTTAAGCTTCTATCTTTTGGTAATGTTAAAAAAATATCAACATTTATGCAAATGTCTTAAATTAAGCTGTCAAATATTGCCATTATTTACTAGTTGTACCAAATGGATGTATCATCCTAGATATCTAGGTCAATAAATAAATAAATAAATTATTAAAAAAAAAAATGTTGAAGTTGGTGTATATAGCGTTATCAGGGTGACCAACCATTCAGGACTGACTGATACCGGTTCAGGGTATTGGCACCTTCCTGGAAAATCTATGCGTCCTTGAGTGTATAGGATTTTTTAATTTAGTCATGTTGTAGCTAGTGATGCGAGTTGGGTAAATACCCAGTGGATAGGTAAATAAATTGTGGGGTATTTACCCGATATTTTTCCAAGAGATATTTACCCACCCAAAAACATAACCTAAAATAATTTAATGTTTGTTGGTTATAACACATGGCAGTCGCGACAAGGATGTTATAAAGCACAAAACAGGTGGTATTATTTGTTAATACTCAGAATCAATCTTCACTCTCATTATGGGTAGAAGAAAGAAAAGTTGTCTGGCAATTTTACAACAAATGCTATTAAAACGATTAACAACATTCATATTCTTCAAGCTTTGTTAAGTAAAATCAGTAATGAAAAGAAAATCATAGTTTCTCTTAAACTGGCTGTAATAACACGATGTGGAAGTCATTTGTTCAGCATACAGAGCCTTCGCCTAAATAAAAGTGTTCTACAAACACTAGCGATAAGTGACGAAGTATCTGTAACACTATCAAAACAACTAAAAACTTTATTAATTGACGACTCTATATTTTGGGTACAAGTTGACAAAATGATAAATATTTTGAGGCCAATTGTTGATCTTATAACAAAGCTCGACTACAATAAACCTCTGATTCACGTCATTCATTCTCAACTGAACAATCTACAAAAAGTTCTGAGTTGCTACCTAAGTCTCCACTGAAAAAAGTGGAGGAAACTCTGGTACTGAAAAAAATGAGCGAAAGAAAAGATTTTGCAATAAGAAAAATAGATTTAGCTGCAACCATGTTGGATCCAGTCTCCCAAGGGACTAAAAATCGGCGAAATTAAGGGTTTTCTAGCAGATTATAGAGATAAGGAAGGCTTATGGTCGAAAAGAAAGGTTCATCTGTTAAGGAATGGAAGAGATCAGTCCTCTTACTTGGTGGAGAGGTATCCGTGGCACAAATATACTAGCAGACGTTGCAATTAGGATTCTGAGTGCACCTGTAACTTCTGCTGCTACTGAACGATCCTTTAGCACTTTCAGCTGGATCCATAGTAAAAAAAGAAATCGATTGACTACAGAAAGAGCTGCCAAAATTACTTACCTAGCCTACAATTGGACATTTCTAATGTCCAACCAGTCTGATTCAGACAATTCAGATATTGTGAAATAAATGTTTCAATTTCAATAAATATTTTTCATACCAAATACTTAAATTTAATAAATATCGAGAAATTTATTCATTTTGGGTATTCTCCAGGGAATTTTCCCGCAAAAATAAATACCTGGGCATTTTACATCACTAGTTGTAGCTTAGCTCAAGGAAATTTTGTAAATATTGGCAACGCTGCAATTCGCCTTCGAAGTTGTATGGAGTTTTACAAATTTTTATTAGTTTTAAAGTTTTTTTCTTCTAATTTTGAGATATAAAGTGGATTTTTGTAATAACAGCAACTGTCAAAATGATCTACTTTACGCAACCAGTTCCATAATGTTGCAACTAGTTTCGAAAAATTCATTACATCACCAGTTGCGAAAAAAAAACTTTACATTCTAAATCAACACAAAATAATTAAAACACAATACACGACAAAATAACCCACTTTAAAAAAAAAGAACTTTAATTATATACACTACTTATAATAAATAACTGAGGGGTTTGGAATGGAGTTAAGTACAAATTTGTAAATTTAAAGTATTCTTCTATTTGGTAGAGAATAGATACAAGTGAATTTATAACAAATAAAGCAATCTATCAACATGTAAAAAAAGTTGTTAAAATAACCACAAATTAAAAGCTCTCAATATTCTCGAGACACATAATATCGTGAAATATTCCCAGTGGCGCACTTATAAATACAATTTTACACTAGAAAATCCTTTAAAAGAGTCTACTTCAGTGCATCCTGGATCATCAACTCCAGTTGAAGATAAAGAGCCAAATGATGACAACTTCATTCGAAGAAAAAGACCTAGATGATGACGTCATTGAATCTGACCCGAGAATAACAACTACAGAAGGTGAGTTCGCGCTACGTACTCTTTTCACTCCCAAAGTACCTAAGGCGTTTGGAAATGAAAGGAGTTAAAATAAAAGTTTCTTTTTGACCGTTCGGAGATCATGGAGTGGAGTGTGAATCGGACATGCGCATAATAAGATAATTGTGACTGATTCTTTAGTAAAAAGGCCTTTTTTTAATTCCCGTGAATATAATTAATATGGAAGAAAGTTATACAGTTGTTAGTGATAAGTACGATTCGATTTTAAGTACTGGTATGTCACATTGACAACTGACTTTGTACTCCGAGAGTAAAAGGAGTAAAATCTTATGCGCACTCCGTTTACGCCTAATTACTCAATTCCACTCTGGAGTGCGCCGCCCGAACTCACCTAGCGAAGCGACAAATCGGTTCCCTTAAAAAAAAATGGAGTGGGGGTTGACCCGTCCCACAGTCATTTCAATTTCAACAAGCTTGCCACATAGATAACTTGTCAGTTTAACTAGTTTAGTTGTAATTCTTGCTATTTGCCGATTTGTTTTGTTTGAGTTAAAAATATATTCTATTTTTATTTAAAAGTTTTATTTGCTATTTAAAAAACTTACAATCCACCTTTCCCGTTATTCGACAATGCTCGAAAAAAGCACGGAACTTTTGAATCTAGTAATTTTTTTATTTTTCTTTTATCCTCGCCTTATAACTGTTGGGTTGGCTACGACGATTACCCTCTGTCATCGTTACTATAAACAACTGTCATCTAGTCTATATAGTAGGACAGCCAGTGACACTTTTTTGGTACACATTTGCAAAAGGCATTATCTAAACAGGCTTTTTTAAGACCTCCTCATCGACGACTCCTTCGCTATAGACACTAGCAAAGTATTTACTTGTTCTACAAGGTAAGAATGAACGAAATAATGTTTGTATTTTTTTATCACACCTCGTATATTATATTTTTATTTCATTTAAAAATTAAACATATAAATGAAAATGAATGAAATCTAGCAAAAGTTTCTTAAATGATGTTAAAAATAAATATATGATGATAATAATAGATGTTCTAATCAAAATTAATTGTTTTTTTTTTTATTCTGACTACTATTGCAAATTTTTATTAAAACAAGTTTAATAGATCAAATTGCGAAGTTATTATTGCTGACTGCTCTTATAAAAATAAAAAATAGCTTATAATCGGAAATAATTTACAATTCACAATTTTCGAAGTCTTATCACATCAAACAACATGTCTGTAGTAATTTTTACTCTTGTTTAATCAATAAATTATTATGTAATTTTGAAAACAGTATATTTTTTGTTGGAAATATATTGTAAACTATCTTATTATTATCATCATTACCTACTTTTTAAGATAAAACGAGTTAAACTATATAAATTGTAAACTCTCGTAAAAACGGTCATAAACTTTGTTTTAAAGTTAATATTTACAGGGTGAAAAAATTTTTATTGAACATTATTGTGTTCTCTTTAACGGTTATAGATACAAAATTAATTGAAATTGAAAAATGTGCATTTTCAAGACGGATTTACCGTTTTAAATAAAAAAAGGGACTGGTTTCAAATATATTTGGACAAATTCGTAAAATTGACGATCTTCATTATTTAATTAACACATAAAATAGATAGAGGTTAAAAATTCAGCTCAACACAGTGTAACCAAATTTCAAAACGACGTTTCGTCTTTAAAGGACCATCCTTAACTATTTTTTTTTTTTAATAAATATGGCTATGTACTTCATTATTTCAATTTGGAATTCACCATTTTTTTCCTAACAAATCTTGTATCATATAACGTTTTTATTAGGTTTTGACAATGAACTGTACTAAAACCCGACGCCCCTGGGTCTGATATTTTTTTATTCTTTTATTTAAATATTTTGTTGCGTTTTTTGAGGAAATATCAATCACTTTCTATTTTGCACGTCTTTTGTTCATCGGGTGTAAATTGTTGAAAGGCAAACTCGAACTCAGAGGGCGGTCCGCAAGCCGGATATGGTTCGGGCTGTTTTTCTGGGTAAGGCCTTGGGTAGGCCCGTTACTCAATCTTTTTCTGTCTAATGCATTGACTAAATGAGAAAATTAAAGTATAAATACGGTGTTCAAAAGTAAGAACTGAGAATTCTTCCTGCCTTTCTCACGTCCAGTTGACAAAAAAGTGTAAGATTCAGTTATCTTTAAGGTGGCTCCTTTCTATATACTCTTTCAGTATATTGAATGGTTTATCTCGTTAACTATAAGGTGACAGTTTTTTTGTTATATTTGGAAACGCAGTAAAAGATATCGAGGCAACAGAGAAATTATTTTCTCTATGAGACGACTTCTTTTGCGCTATACACCGTTACCTTTAAGGTAACTTCTTTCGTTATATATTTGTATATCGAGAAATAGTTATTTGTTACCTATCAGGTGACCAAACAGACGGACGTTTTAAAAGAGCTTAATTTTTCTCTCTTTTAAGGGTTTTGTAGGATTGCATCTCCGAGTTATTGAATTCTTTGCGTCACTTGTCTTGGTGAACCGTTGCCTATGGTGACGACGCCGGATAAAGAAATAGCGAGTTATTTAGTACCTCTGATCCAACCGTATAAAACTTGTGGAAAACGACTAAAAGTATTGCGATTGTCGTTCTACTTTTATCGACGATATCTTTTTCTTTGTTGTGAGGATCCACGTGCGTAGATTTTAGCGTATCTTCTATTAGACGCTACGATTATCGGGTTTAATCGCGGAAACGCCGTTCTAGAACGCATTTCGAGATCAGCGTTTTCGACGCACATTCCTTAATTATGTGTTTAAAAGGGAAACCATTCTTATTTGGGTAAAATTTAGTAAATTGTAATTATTAAGTTATGTGGGTAGTTTTTTCATTTCATTGTCAGGCTATTTCATTTTATTTTGTAGGGCAATAATTAATAATTAGAATTACGGTCATAAAAATCTATTGTAAATCCAGTCACAACAACTAATAAAATAAGCCCTTCTGGTTTATGATCATAAGAATCAAGTGTCACAGCCCTTTATGATTTTAGGGTTTAGGAAACCAATGGCCTGCTCTTAGGGCTATAAATTGTCGTTTTTTTGCGTTCATTTATATGGTAGACAGATGTTTAAATTGTATTATATTTATTTGTCCAGTCCTAATGTTAAGTAAATTACGGTAATAATATTTTCTTTCATTCTGTATGATGCAAAAATGGGTACAAACATGTCTTATTTCTAAACGTTGAGATTTCAATTTTTTTGTTTTTAAGAGTGAATATGTACAGAGGCGGGTAACAATATAATTTTAGGTATTATGTTTACGTAAGCGGACATATTAGGCTCATCTGGGCATCACTTTAACACATAGGTTATAGAACTCCGGTATAATTGTTATCCTTTTAGAAAAATGAGGTGAGATTGTGGTGGGACTACAGCTTGTGGTTTCGGAGCTGTCATTTATAGCATTGATTTGTCGGTAATTAGAGCAAAAGAGCATAGCGCCGAAAAAGAGCCTTGAGCCACCCATAGTACATGCGGAACCTCAATAGTAGGGCCTAAAAATGGTACTTTTTCCCCACGTCTATGGACAGAAAAGGTAGGATGGATCTTAAGAAAAGATACCCCAAAAGTGGGCCTAACGGGCATCCCCCTTTATATCAGGTGTTCTGTTGTCGTTCAAGTTATTGTTATATATGCAGTGCTGAGCACAATCGTAAAATACGGTATTGGGATATCAGTGGAAAGGTGTTACGCAAGATGAATTTAAACTTCTCATTTACATATTTATATCCATATTCAGATCTTGCCATACTCTTCGTGATACCGCTGAACTTCACTATATCAGACAACAGACAATACGTATGCAGGTATTCTATTAGCAGTGTGTATGATTGCGAACTATAAGGGGATAACAAATATGCTGTAGTACTATCATACTTGCACCGTTTCATGGGAGCTTAATATCCCTTGTTAGAAATGAGACATGGATATGGATAAGGCCCCACATGTGTTATGTTAAACTAAACAAACATTATTGTGAACTTCCCGCTTTAAGAAATAAGTTTCAATAAAACTATTCTTAATCTATTTTTTTGTAATAATTTTTTTGACCCTCAATTACAGCTACATTGAACTCTAAATGAAATTTTGGGGTCCTACAAAAATCACTTCATGGGTATCTACTAGACGCATTTTAGGCCAAGGTTTTAAATATTTGTAAAACTAAGTTAGGACCCGGTTCGTCAGGTTACAGTACTTTAAGAATTTTTTTCGGTTCATTCCTGATTAATAATTTTTATTTTCCAATTCTAGTTATTTAAGAAAATTTAAGCAACTCCTATTTTCTTAGCAATTATTGTAAAAGTCTGTTATGTCCTTGTCTGTCTTACTTGAAGTTATTTGTTATTATAGGTTTTTTCTCAGTTATTCTATACAACCTATTTTATCAACCCTATGTTTAGAGGATGAAGTAATACATAAAAATTTTAAGTATGCATGCTTGGATGTCAAAATAAAGGCGCTTACACTTTAAGTCACCTCCAATAGCTTTAATAGCTCTTTAAAAACCCTACGACCAAATATCTTTAAACATGCAATTTGCGCATTATATTTCACATTTTATCGACCTTTTTTATATTTAAGTATTGCCATGTCTGTACCATTTAAAAATGTGCAATTTTACTCTATCGTGCCAAAACCTAGAGTCAAAATAAAAAAAAATGGAATAAATTATCCTTACCTAACAATTTTTTTCAAAATAGAAATAGATATGTGCGACATGCCGCACACCAATTGTTCCATATGCTCGGCGGTAACCAAAGACAACAGCGGTACCGGTATGATGCCCGCCATTCCTTCCCTGATGGCCGCTATCTGCATGTCGAACTCTTGCATTCTATATTTCACAGCCTGCTCATAATATTGCGCCCTATTTTCGAACGTCAACGGAATGTTACGACCACCGTGCACGATCGGAACAACCTAAAAAATATTTAGGCATCAAATTTATCTCCAAACTCCCAAGGTATGAAAAAAATGTTTCTTTATATGTAAAAATTATAAAAAGTTTACTTAATTAGTCATTAAATAACAAACAAATCATCACAATATATACATGGTGTTCCAATATACTGAATTAAGTTGAAAAATAAAGAACCGTCTAACTAGTTAAAAAAAAAAATGGTTACCTTTCCCGTACAACTTCTGCCTTCGAAGCATTCCAGTGGTATAATGTCATGAAAATATTCTACAGTCACGCCGGAAAGGTGTATATCCCTTATACTCCTTAGGCTCTGAATGTACATACAATCGGTATCCTCTAAATCTTCCACGGTCAACGGTTCGCCCACTATTAGTTTCCAAATTATGGGCGCTATGGGTAGAGCCAAGGGTTTTCTTGTTCTAATAGCTACTCCAAATAATATACCTAAAAAAAAATTAAAGACTGTCAGATTTGATGTGGATCGATGATACAATTTAAAAATTTTTTGGCACTAGAAATTGAGAGCATTTGGCCACTAGAAATTAACAATTTTTTAAAAGGGATCAAAATTTACAAAAAAAATCATCCTATTTATTATCTATTATTATAATTTAATGAATGCCAATGTAGGTGGACGAAATTATTTAAAACAACCCAAATCTATAGAAATAAAAATTATTTATTACTTTGAAAATCTAGATGGACGAAAATGATTAATCTATAGATGTATGAAAATTAATACTTTGAAAATCTAGATGGACAAACATTTATTTTATAGCTGGCAAATCTAGATGGATGAAAATAATTTAATGAATGCCAAAATATAGCTGATAAATTTAGATCCATTTTTTAAAGAATTTTAAATCTAGATGGACGACGAAAATTGTTCATTATTGTACAAATCTAGATGTACGAAAATTATTTCACTTTTCAAATCTACATGGAAAAAATTTTTTAAGGAACATTTTACGAACCTATTTAGACAAAAATATATTTAAAAGTTTGAAAATCTAGATAGATGAAAATATTTAATGAATGCCAATCCATGTGGGCAAAATTATTTATGGTGAGAACACACACTTCTTACTTCAAACCAGGATGTTTACAAATGTACCATGATAAGTGGCAGTTGACAATCCACCATTAATAAATGACAATTGACAACTCTGCTATAAACTAAAGTTTATGTTGATAAACTTTTCATTTGTTTCATATCTATATTTACTATTTAATTTTGTTTTCTTCGAATAAATACTTGACCTGTAGTTTAAGATTTCTTAATCCCTACCCTAGGATACTTATAAGCCTCAAAACTTACCTAAAAATTTGAACCAACTCAAATTCTGCGACGACGTCAATTGCGGATTGAGAAGGAACTTATCCCTGTTGAACCCTTCGTCGTTTAAGGCGTTTGGGGTGGGAATTAAAAGCGGAACGATACCCGTTGTTATTTCTTGACACATTTCCGTAATGGTATCGTCGAAAACGCCACCCGCATCATCGGCGCCCTCTCCCACTAATTTCACTTTCCAAGCTCTCGATGGCAGTCTCATCTCGTTCGGCATGATGTCTACCACTTGTTTGGCTATTTGTACGAAGATCGGCTTACATTTGCGACCTACAATTAACAATGAATGGATATGACTACAAAATAGAGGGAACCCCAAGGGTCCATCATGGGGCCCTTCTTATTTCTATTATTTATTAATGATATGTCACTGACCCGCAAAACATTTGATATTATGGATAAAAGACTACCTACAAAATAGAGGGTACCACAAGGATTCATCCTTTGCCTCTTGTTATTTTCATTATTTGTCAATGTAATGCCAATAACCAACAAAACATTTGGTAATCTAAACTTATACACTTCTTTTAAACTATACATACCTTCTTGCGAAATCCTTCTAACAGTTATTTGGGGCCCGTAATTCTTTCCTTGTACCATGGTCTTTCCTATACACCGAACGAAAGGTAGGGTGTATACTCTGGGCGCCAATAGAGTTCTCAATTTAGGCGAAATGAGGCCTTCCAAAGGCGGCACTTGCATGTCGATTTGTTGGGCGCTCAGAGGCATCAAGGTCCAACAAGAGTAGAGCTTGTCGGAGAAATTGTACAGGAATTTCAAACGGGATTGGATGGATTTGATCGAGAGACCCTGAAGATGATCGTATTGCGGAGGTATCTCGGTGGGCAGGCCGAAACTCAGGCAATTTGTGAACCTTAAAAACAAAACGAATTTTATATTGGTTATAATTTATTAACATATTAGCACATGACACTAAAACGAAATATCTAAAAAATTATATACAGCATACTCAGTCTCTGGTCCTACTGCATAGCTTATAATATAAAAATGAAAATACTAACCTTACATTTTTCAACGGTAGAGGCACGCTCGTCCATGCTGCGCTGTGCGTTCTACCCGTAGAAATCTGCTTGATCCCCTTATTCGACAACTCTGTAATAATCTCTGGTTCTCTGACCAACGAAACGTGCAATAATCCAAGCTGCCCTTCGGTGTTCATACCCCAACCGAACACCTTACCGCATGAAGTCAAGAACAGGCAGTGTTCCGTACCGACGGCAAAATCGTCGATGACATAATCAGCGAGACTTGTTAATTGATGCGGACGAGAGTCCGATCGTTCGCGAGTGTGCGTCTGCCATGGAACGCGATCGACGCCGCACACGTAAATTTTTCCGCTGGCCGTTAGGAATATCGTCAAGTGCGTTCCGCAACCAACCTAAAATAATAATGAGACAGATAAACCTCTACATCTAACCCACAATATCAATAGTGACCCCAAACGTACGAAAATAATAAACCAAAACCTTTATTTACGAAGCATTTACCTTCTTTATCCCGATGTTGCACAACGTTTCCACCAGTTGAGGCGTGGACTTCGTCGTGACGTGTCCCAAACCTAATTTCCCATAATCCCCTTCGCCGAACGTCCAAACGCTCATACCGTCTACGGACACGCACGCCGTATGGTTCAGTCCGCAAGCGACTTGACCGATTTTTTGCCCTTCCAATGCCGTCACCTTTTCGGGAAACTTTTTATTCGAAGTCGAACCTTAAAAACAATCGATAAACTAATTCATTTTTGAAGAAGCGCGAAATGTGACTAGAAACCAACCGTGTCGGACTGATCTTTCTGCTAACAAATGGTGAGCGCGTCAAGGTCAAAATTATGAAAGAGAATAAATATTTTAATGCACTAATCTGATCCTTTTTCTAGCCACACTTCTTATGACAGCTTTGACTCACCTAAACCGAGCCTACCATAATCTCCATTACCAAAAGTGAACAATTTACCATCTCTAGTAACCACCGCGCTATGTTTGAAACCGCAAGCCACTTGAACTACTTCTTCGAACTGCAGAGCTTCGATTTGTCTCGGTCTTCGTTGACGGTCGCTGTTACCATGCCCTAATTTACCTAAAAACGTAATGAGCGATAAAGAAGACATCGTCCGTTTATAAATTTGATTCTAACTCACCGTAATCTCCATCACCCCAAGAAAATACCTCACCGCTCTCAGCTAAAGCCAAACTATGTCCATCTGAGCCAACCGAAGTCGCCAAATCGACAACGACGAAGCCCTGCAAACTCGAAATGACGCTTAAAGAATGCAGATCGTCGGAATTACCTTGGCCCAATCGTCCGTAGCTGCCTTCACCGCAAGCCAATACCGTACCATTGGCTTCGATTACAAAGGTACAGTTTTGTCCGCATACGATCTTTCTCGCTATAGAAAATGATTCAACAGCTGCTGGAATCGAAGCGCTGTATCCTAATTCAGCTAGTTGACCGTGCCGATCGGAACCCCAGAGGTAAGCTTTGCATTTACCTCCGAATTGCCAATCCTGTGGCCTCTGAGCCGCCCATTGCATGATCTGCTCGTCTTGCTTTAAACTCCAAAATACGTTCTGGATAGCGGACGGTTTTACGTCTTCCTCCAATATCCTACTCAAATTGATTACATCATCAGACAATTCCGTTCTTTTGATCAAACTGTCGGCCATCTTGGTCGCCAAACTGAAAGTGTGCAACCAATACAGATCCGGAACGAATTCCGAAACGCCCTTATCGTTGAAAGGGCGCAATTTGTAGCAAATGATTTTGTCCAAGTCCAGCAGCAGCGCTATCGAAGCCAGGCTTTTCAAATAAACCGAATGCATCAGATGAGCTCCTGTTTGAACAGTCAATTTTTCTGTGTTGTATTGATCTTGAAGCATGTTGGGCAGCATGTTGGCCAATACTTTGAAGAAAGGCGCCGTTTTTAGTCCTTTGATGCCCTTTTTAATGAGAGTACATCGGACGCCTGCTAAAGGAAGGTTTTTAATCAGATCCTGGGCGCTGTAACTCAGCACGCAGATAGTTTTCGTTCTTGCAAAAGCTATTAGCAGGTAGTTATTGACGTTTAACCAGTACATTCCGTTTGAAGTGACCCCGCCGTTTCCTGAAAACGTAATACATAGGACAAACGAAGTATACAATATGAACTAGATTTAGAGGGCATATTAATTTGAACTTTACCTGTGGTTGAATGAACGAGGCTTCCATCGTGTAGCGACCAAATGTTGACAACGCCACTGGGTCCTTTTAAACAACCGCTGGCTAGCAACAAACCGGTTTTGTCAATGCAAAGGGTGGAGACGCCATTGTATGAATGACCTTGTGCATTTATTACTAATACGGGAACTTTTTCTTGTTGGTTTTTCTCGTCGGGTAGTTTCCAAACGCACACGGTACCATAGCTGCTACCTGTGATGTAAAATGCAGTTTAGAGTCGAGATTTTACTTCACTCTTTGAGAAGCTGCCATTTAAAAAGACACAAAGTGATTATAGAGAGAAAACTTAATAAAGGACCATCAATTCGGATTCAGACACCTTATTCCACAGGATTACATATCCATTAGAGAAAGTCTATAAAAAAAAAAAAAAAGAAGTTCTTCAACAAAACGCAGGCATTTGATAATGGCATAAAGAACTTATAAACTAGGAACAGATGTTTCCAAAACAGTATGTACAACTCCTAGAATAGTGCATAACATATACATTTTATAGAGTGAAACAATAGAAGGAATATCCGGAGTCAAAACAAACTAAAGCAGGGTACTCTCTCCAGAAGCAAAATTGGGAACGACGGGAAAAGTGGGAAACAAAACGCAGAAGAAAATGGACAAATTAGAAAGGAAGAACTGATGAAGAAAATCAATGAAAATAGAAACGGATTGGAGGATAAAAAAATTGAAGAATTAAGATTTAAGACAGATGAAAGAAATGAAGAAATAAAGAAAAATTTAAGATAAAAATGACAGGCAGAATAGACGAAGTAGAAATAGAACAAGAAATATAAAATAGTACAAGAAAAAGAACTGGCTTTAAAAAAAAGAAATATCTGCAGATATGGAAAATATAATAACGAAGGCAAAGGATCAAGGAAAAAGGAAAAATCAAACCTAGAAGAAATAGAAAGGAAATCTACTCAAGAAAAGAGAAATCAAGAAATAAATTTTGAAAAAAGACAGAGTGCTATTGAACAAAGTGTTAAAATATGTAAACAGGAAGTGAGGGAAAGTGGAAGTGAAGAAATATGGAACAAAAAATGGAGGAAAAGTTTAAATGATTAAATGAAGAACAAGGATAGGAAAGAAAGGTATTGCTGGTGAAAATCAAACAAAAATTTGAAGGGAATATAATAAATACACCCGAAAGTATTTTTAAGGATCTTAAGCTATAAATAAAAAAATATAGAGTCAATTGACAATATAAAGGAGTGAATTAAAAAACTTTGGACAATCAAGCGTTAGTATGGTTTACAAGTAAAGAAACAGAAATGGTTTGAAGTTTATGAGAAATTATTTATTGAACATTATTGGGGAGAGGTCTTCCCAGGCTAAGATAAAAACTGTGTTTAGGAAAAATTTGATGAAAATAGAGGTAGTTTTTTTTTAAATCTGTTTGTGCCACAAATAATTTTTTTGTAGTATTGTGAAATCTGTGGCACCTGGCTCTTGGCGCTGTAAAGTTGGATATTTTTACGAGGTTGTTTTTTAACAGAGGCCTTATTCAGAAGTACGATTAAAAATATTTATGTTATTAACAGAACTCTTACTTACCAATTGCCAATAACAACGGAGTGGGTCCTTCACTAACCAGAGGCGACCAAACAAGGCTGATAGGTTCGTACGCTTGTACTAATACGTGCACAGCCACCAATTTGTCATCTGTCACCGTCCATACCTTACAAGTCAAGTCAGCCGATAGAGAAGCCAAAAGTATTCCGCGCGGATCCCATTGGAGGCCGTTGATAGTGTTTTCGTGCGCTTTGCAATTGATCGAATGGGCTTCTTTATCGACCCAACCGAGTTTTATGGTTCCATCGTAATAAGCGATGGCGAACGGACCGTCTTCTTGATGCCAGTCGATGTGAACTACAGCTGTATCAAAAGAATGTGTTGATTTTTAAGGAAAATTGTAAAAATCATCTTACCTCTGGCCATAGTAAAATTCTGGAGTACGGAAACCTGTTTGCTCTCCTCTGTCAATGAGATCATCGAAACGGATCCATCTATTTTGCCGACGATCAAAAAATCTTTGTCTTTCGTGGTTTCGCCTTTATGTTTTGGCCACGTCATCACCGTGATGAATTCCTTTTGATCTTCGATGAACCAATCGCTGTAACAATTCGTGTTTTCGGATTTTTTTAATGGCCAGATATTGATGATGTTGTCCAAAGCGGCTGCGATGAAATTTCCCGTAGGGGCCCACTTTAAATGTCCTATGAATGGATAAAAAAAAGAACACTTATACAAAGGTTCAATATATGATAAAAGTACTACCAACCTATTAACCTGTCTTGTAGTTCGCTACCGAACACGTCAGTGGAAATATGGAATACCAGGGTGGAATCCAAGACAGGTTGTTTATTGGGTTCGACCATCCAAAGTCTGACTGTACCATCGTAGCCTGAAGAAGCCAACAACCCACTTTGTTCGTGCCAGGCCAATGACGAGACCCTGTTGTCGTGAGCTTCTAAATAAACAGTGTTCTGTTTTGGCATAAAGCTTGAAAGATCCGCGAAATTTACTTGGTCTGCGTTCGAGCCGGCCATCATTTGGATTTTCGTTGCAAGAGACTAAAAACATTTTTTTGTGTCATTAACGACCATTAAGTCACAAGTCAATTTTCTATGACAAAATATACAGAATAAACGGTCCCTTGGCCAATAACATTTTAAGTCGGTCGCTAATGTAAAGCTTATAAGCAGATTTTTGACAGTTTAACAGATTGACAATATGGGTTGTGTATAGAGTAGTATTTTGTACCGGTTCAAACTATCATAATACGTCTTGTTCCATAAGTGACTTTCTTCTGTCAAAAACTGATCTGTTACATCCCCCCTTTACTTATTTCCATCTCATGTTATAAAACAACCCTTTTTTGTGACAACAAAACTGTTATTGCATATCATTTTCATATCAAGCGTTGAAGATTAATTAAATTTGGTCGTTTTAATATTTAATATAAAGAAAAGGAGAAGAGAGGATGACATTTTCCTTCAAAGCGCCGTAAAACAAAAAGAAAAGTCTTTTTTGACCAAATTGTGACGAAGTTACTAGATTTTTCTTTAAATTTATTATAAAAATGTTTAGCTCAAGTTAATTTCCGCCTGTTAGCGTTCTCAAGAACCCTCGTATTTTATTTCGTAAAAATTCCCGTTTTTCAACATTTGCGGTAACCCTCGTATTTTAAAATATATCATTCTTTGTCGAAATTCGAAACCAGCTTTAAACGCTCAAATTTAGGTAAATTATCTGGGAATTTTCGCAAATGTCAATAGGTCTTTTCTTTTCAGTTCTCCGATTTGTAAACACTGGCTACTCCTACTCTGAACCACTCGTAAACCGAACTAGTCCGAGCGAAAAATATAAAGCTGAGATCCCCACCGAATTATTTCTCTTCCAGTAGCGAACTTCCTAGTCTACTTAATTTTGGGCCGTTACCGTTAATACCGCCGATATTTTATTTCGCCAACTTAATTTATCAACGTCCAAGGTATTCCGAGTCAATAGACCCTTTACTACTCCTTCAGCCAGTGAAATATGTAATTCACTACATACCGCCGATCACGAGATACCGTTGCTCTCTTATTCATCACTGTATCAACTGTATTAAACCGCATCCCTTTGAAAATAAGCCTTTAAATGGAAAGCGTCAATTAAAATTGCAGTAAAAATAGTTTTTATTCAAATTTGGTACACAAAATTTTAGAGAAAACACTTTTTAAACATATATAGGAACACCCAGTGAAAAGGTAAATTCAAATCATATTTTGGCTGAAAATAGTTATTTTATAGAAAATTTGGAGATTTTACATATAGAGAATAAAAGATTAAATTAAACTATTTAGAAACACTTGAAATAGTAAACTATTTAGAAACACTTGAAATAGATTTAAAAATTCAGATAACCTATTAATTGATCAACTTTATTAAATCTCTTTACCTTTTCTTAGTTTTCTGTGAGATAATCCCGGTAATGACAATACCTTATTGGAATATATACGGTGTGTCGCATTTAAGATGAAGACACCCCTATATTTTGTCTATCTAAATAAATACAAATTTTAAGTTTTGCACAGTCATACAGGGTGATGGTTCACAATTTTTAAGATACTCCACTGAAATTTAAATATGACTGTGCAAAATTTCAAATCGTATTTATTTAGATAGCCAAAATATCATCTTAAATGCGACACACTGTATATTAGAAGACACCGAAATATAAAATAGTCACATTTAAAGAAGTTGTACTTCGAAATTGTCATGAGTAATGTTTAATTTTAATTTTTATGAAATAAAAGTGTCAAGAAATTAACTTATAGCTTTTCACCGCTTATTATCCGTCGTTACCGATTTATATTTATTTTCTTATCTTTTTTTTGTAAACATTTGTCGTTAGCTCAATTATACTGTCAATAAATTTTCTGTGTTTCCCTTAACCATAACCTCCCTTTATCTAGATCTTCCAGAATCACCTTAAGGGTAACAGATACAAGGTGATTACACCATTTAGTTTGAGTAAGGTAGGTAATACCGGTGTTAAGGTTCTTTCACGCCAGAGGTGAAGCAAAAAGATGTGTTACAAAACCGATCTCATATTATTGATAAGCAAAGTTACTGTATGGTCTGTGACAATTTCATCATGTTTGACAGAAATGCAAACTCATTAAAAATTATAATTATAACAAGTAACTATAAAAATATATTACCAGTTAATGAATTAATGTGATAACAAACGAACATCATTAAAACTGCATCAAGATATTTCACTACATCAGACTACAGACTGCAAGATACGTCTCACCTCAGGTAAAATGACCAATAAGGGATTTAGAACCACTTCCCACTTACCTTAAACAGCTGCTGAGCCGCCCACTGCTTACTGCTATGATCCACTTTACTCGACAATATAAACGCGGACAAAGCGTTGACCAACGTAAGCGGACCGATATCCTTGCTTTCTGGCTGTGGACTTTGCGGCGCCTCCTCCTTCGGCAGATCCATCAAAGAACATCCGCCGTGCGTAGACAGAATATTAACCAAAGCCTGAGTAACGGCGAAACCTGACTTGGACGCTGATACGCCCAACGCGAACATAATCAAATCCTTGGTGCACATATTGACGACCAAATTCGACGAGCTGATTTCGTTTTGCGCCAAAGCCGCTATGCTGACACTCAAATAATTCAAACAGCTGTTTGCGGCACTCGATAGATTAGTGATGAGCTGCGAAAAGCCTTTCGGTAACTGGAACGTTGGGATGTCTTGGTTATTTTTGATGTTGTTTATTTCGACGCGGTTCATAGCTGTTAAAGTCATCAGACGCACCACTTTGGTTATATCAGATAAACCGATCGATTCCAAGCAGTTAACTAAGGAGAAGTAATTGGTACTCATCGAAAGTATCGATAGTACGTTGAGGATAATAGTTCTGGATAACAAAATATGCGTCGTAATAGTCAAATGTTTTAACGCTAGTATCCGTTCGAAAGAGGAAATCAAGGTCATTGCTTGGCCCCCAACCGACCGCACTCTCGATTCCGGTTTATCTTCTTTTTCACTAGCCATTTTCGGTACCGCATTTATCCCCAGCGGATCGAATCTGACCAAACTGAAAGTCTCCACAGTCAAATCGTTCATTCCCAAATAGTTTTTCATTAATTCCGTATCCTCGCAATTGGGCATCGTGAATTTAGCGAGCTGTATGTCAGCTTCGGTCATATCGTTGTCGTCGAAAATTATATCGGGCGCCTGCAGCTGAATATGATTGTCGGATTTGCTGCAATTCGAGTATTTCTGCTTGCATTTGTAACATAGTATGTAGTAGCCGTCCGAGCAGTATCCGCAAACGCCCTGGCCCCACAAAGTGTTACAACCCGGATGGTAGGATATCAAATGGGCGTCTAAATACGGCGACAAATGCTTGCAGTAAGGGCAAATCGCGCAAGGATTCTCCACGCTAACATATGACGAGTTGTTCGGCTGTTGTCTGTCCACGCTTTCATTTGAAGTCGGAGTGGCGTTCTCGCTGCTCGAATCTTCTACCGAAGGGTTTCTTAGGAGCGGGTTGGCTTCGCCTCTGACGTGCTGTCTTTCTCTAACTCGTTCGTGCAACGCCCGATCAACGCGTTCTAAGAAATTGCGTAAATCCGATCCTCGTCTTCTGGAGAAACCTGAAAATGTATATAACTCACCATTTGCGTTCTTTAGACGTTTTTTAATTATTATTAAAACAAACCTCTCCTTTGGATAAACTCAATTTCTGACCCCTCCAAACTCTGCGGCCTCGGTATATCCTGCGAGCGTTCCATCAAAGACCTCAACAAGTTGCTCCTGTTGGACGTACCCTCGTCTTCACTGACATCCAGATAAGGATGCTCCAACATCCAAGTAGCCAAAGTGTTTACCGTATGAGCGTTAAGTTCGCCAGCGCATTTCGTTTCTCTCAAGGCTTTAAGGATGTGGTTGATGGTGAAACCCATTTCTAATAAAGGCGTGGCTATGGGCGGAGGCGGGGGTGAATTGGATGATATGCGGCGGATGCCCCAGAAGTTTTCTTCCGATTCGGATCCGGAAAAGAGGCGACTTCTTACCGGGTTGTTTAGATTCGGACTTGCGTCTGGAGATATAATGATGAGGCAAATTTAGTATGTTATCTTTGTAGGTTATGGGACACTTGAGGACACTTTTTTGGATGAGTCAAAAATTATTGGTATACATATCAATTTAAAGTGTATAAAATCAGTAACTTGAATTAAAATTATTTCAGAACAAGAAAATATTCTAAAAAGAAAACTTACGATGTTTCCTCAGATCTGGGGAAAAATAAAAAATGACAAAGTCGCAATCTGCTATCAAAGTAGAAAAAGTGTCACATACTTCTAATAAAATACCAAATAAGGTCGTTTGCGCAGGTTTACTGCGCTAGGAATTAAAAGAAGATACAAAATCGACGCCATTTTGGACTACTTGTACCACGGGACCTATGATTTGGCATCTGCCTCTTGAAGGTTGAAATTTGTTATAAAGCATTACAGTCAATAGCAGGATTTGATTGGCTGCAATAACTCTGTTCTGTCAAAGTTATAATGAGGACCAATAATAGCACACGACACAAACAAAAAATACGTGTGGCACTCGGGGACTGCCGCGGTAAAGCAATTATAATTATTTATTTATTTTATTTATGCAGTATTTTTTTTTCTTTGATATTAATTCAAGTTTTTTTCTTTGATATTAATTCAAGTTGCACTTTTTGAGCGTGGTGACCGATAAGAAAACAATTTTTTTCTTTTATTGAATAAATGAGAAGTTAATATTGTTTAAAATATTTTTATTATCTTACAATACATGTAGGAATTTTTATTATTGAAACTATAAGTTTATGGTAACTGAAATAAGAAACATAAGTTTGAGACTTGATATCCTCTAAATATCTGGAAAATACCGCGTCAATGATGGTCTCATATTTTGTTGTGGATTCTTGTGGGTCATTATTCATTTTTAAATTCAATTTTTTCGAAATTGTGTCTAAAAGAGATAGAATCAGTTATGAGCAGTTAGCAGCTAGTCTACACGCATACGTCTAGTCGCACACACACAAACACCGTGCCGAAGTCTGCCGAACTGAAACAACGTTAGACGATGCACGGCTTTCAACGCCGCACCGCTGTGCCGGTCGGAGTGGGGGGTGTTAGGTTTATTTTCGTTACAGAATTTCTTTTTCGATTTTTCGGTTTTTCGAGGGTGTTAGGTTTATTTTCGTTACGGAATTTCTTGATTCGGTCGTGAAATAGTTAACACTGATAAAATAAAAATTAATATTTTATAAATCTTGCAAAAAATTAATATCTAATATTTACGCCATCCGGGAACATTTGTGATACCAATTTATTAGAAGCCAGAGAAAGCTCTTCTAGTTCTTGTATTGCATAAACGTTCCAGTCCGCAGACGTATATTTAACTCCGCTTCATACTATTACGAATAGGGTCGAATAAAACCTTCCAAGGCTTTCAAGTTGAAAGTTTCAACGCCCCACCGCTGTGCTGGTCGGAGTGGGGGGTGTTAGGTTTATTTTCCTTACGGAGTTACGGAATTTCTTGATTCGGTCGCCGCGCTTAAAGCCCGCGATTAAAGCTATGCAATAGCTTAAAAAAAACGATCAATACGAAGCTTAACAACTGGCATTTGTAATGTGTTTTATGCAACCAACATAAGCTCAGGTCCGGCTTTTTGCAATTGCCTTGTGAATTGTTATTGTATTATTGTTTTTCGTTGTTGTTTAAAGCGTTTTTCTACTTGTTCTAAGTTTTTACGGATACTTTGTTTTTTTTTTTGGATTTGTTTCAGTTAGGTGAAACTTCTTTCAATTGATTATTTATATTTATTATTTGACGTAAAATAAGTTGTATAGGGGAAGATTAAAAACATCAAGAGATTTTTGCAACATCCGTAGTGAGTTTTCACAGGTAATATTTTAATGTTTGTAGTATACAAGTAAATTTTTAATGTTAATCTAATATAGATTACCAAAGAATAATAATCGACGTAAGTAGTGGTTAACTGCATTAAAAATTACCAGCGAGATACCAGATTGAGATTTGTTTGTTAGGAACATTTTGCAAATGAAGAATTTCTCACGAATGAAGAAATACGTACTCTAAGGCCTGCAGCAGTTCCAAGTCTTCATTGATAGACATACTTCCATTTCATCGACCTTGAAAACCACAGTCCACCTTTTCACATAATGCTGCAACTTTTTCATCAGGTAGTGAATCAAACCACAAAATCAACAAAGAAAATATGACATGTAGATATTTAATGAAATCTACAAATAGTATTTTTTTTATGAAAAACAACATAGTTACATTTAATTACATATTATATGTAGTTTTTTGTTTTTAGAATATCACGAAATTTTAGTTAAATGTATATCCAAAATAGTTTACAGATTGGTATATATTATTTAATTTTTAAAAATTTCAACCTTATTTTTCTAGAATTCTGGGTGAACATGGGACTGTACATGCTACATGAGTTACGATATAACGTATTCTGTGAATAATATACGTTGACTACTGGGATTTAATAATATAAATAGATATATAAATACGATCCTCAATAGTACCCTTAACTGTATAAAGTTTCTATTCTTGATATCAGTACTTAACAACGCCTCTGTAAAAGAACTAAATATAAAAATAAAATATTCTACACTTATGTTTATGTTACCTATTTCTTTTACAAACTATAGCAAATAAATACGTAAGACATATCAGTCGTCTGAACGGATATACTTTCAAATCTAATACAGATATAAAATCCTCGATAAAATTCACCAATCACGACTGCTGTCTTTTTTTAAATTTCAAATTAGTGACTAATATGTATGAAAAAGTAATTGTCAGTTAGAAGAAAATTAAAAAAGGGTGATTCCCGTTACGAAACGATAAATGACAAACCAAAAGTTATTCATCTATACATGCAAAAAAAACATACAAAAAAATCAGTTTGATGAAATGTTTTAAAACCAATTCAATTGTGATCGTTAAGTAAAAAGAGCGTGAAAGCTGTTGAGGCACATCAGTTTGGGTTTAGGACTCCCACAAAAAAATCCGGGTTTAACCTCACTCAAAGCAAATTCTTTTTCTTTTAATCAATTTGATATACATATTTTATTTTTCAAATCAATAAAAGTCATGAATATAATTCTCTTGTGTTAAGTATTTTTTAAATAAATTTGTAAAAGTTGTGCATCGTTGAAACCTTTAAACATATTAATAAATATTGCATATAAAATTTTATGTTTCTTTGTTGCACTACTGTTTAAGATTTCAGTAAATTTACTTTTGTACATCAATATTTATATTTTTGCTGTTTTATAAACACATCACAATTTTTTGTTTAATTTTGTATATTACCTACTTAAATAAATACTTAATATCTTGTTTACTTCTTTAATAATACCTATTTTTATTTTATTTGTGGTATAAAATACAGCTATTTTTTAAGAGTCCATTTTTTCACATCTCCTAGTTAATCTGTTATTTTCTTTATTATTAGAATTTTTTTGATAACATATTGTATATTTGGAATATTAGGCCGGACCCAACTCTGTAAGTATAGTACGAGTGTAAGGCGTCTCTCTTGTGAGGTATATTATTAGAAGTATGTGCAAAGTGTACTATATGAGACTCTCTTTTATCTTTCTAGTTCTAGTAAACGAAATGAAGAAAAATCACTAAAAAAAAGCATGTTATTAATATATAATTACTTCGTTCTAAATTGTAAAAATGTTTGGTATACATTCTAATTTCAAGTGTATAAAATCGGCAATTTAAATTAAAATTATTTCAGAATGTGAAAAATTGCAAACTGACACATTTTCCCCTGATGTGGGGAAAAATCGAAAAATGGCAACGTCGTAAACTGCTATCTGAGCAGAAATATATAGATCTGGGGAAAATCGAGAAAAATAGCAACATCGCAATCTATGAAGTAGTGTGCGTATCGCCAAAAGGACAATGGGTGCACAACGTTATCTAGAAATTCTATTAAAATGGCGACATCGAACATTGGGAATGGTTTGTAAGGTATTGGGCCTTTGTGTTCGACATTTTTGTCAATAGAACACGGCTGGTCGGAGAGTTGAAAACGACGTTTAATGCGAAAATGTCGAAACGTACCGACTACCGAACACATTGCCATTTTTCGATTTATTTCCTCAGATCTAGGGAAAAATCTAAAAGTGTCCTCAAGTGTCCCATTACCCTCATTTTATTATTGTCAACATATACAAGCAGTGATGGATGCCACCATGTGATCGGCGTTTAACTATCTAAGAGTGAATAGGTAGTACCTTTAAATAGGTTTTAAAAGCTGCAGTGCCGCCACACTTGTGACGGACTAAGGTGATAGAGCGGGTCCGAAGTGTGGAAAAAAATACTTTTAATATGATAAATACACTTACTTAAAGACGTAGAATGTGTCGCCCCATACGGAACATACGGAAAAGCGCTTGTATGAACGCTTAACGAAGATGGCGGTTTCGGTACTAAACTACTCGGTCTCGGCGGTTTTAACCGTACAATTTTCCTGGAATGATTGCTACCTACACAACAGATGGACAAAAGCAATACAACACAACCCAAAACAGATATTAAACCAAGAACCAAAACAACAAATTAAATTCAACTTACTGTCAGGCCATATCGTCGAGCTCGGCAAACTCGTAACCGAGTTATCAATTTTACTAGCGCTGGGAGCTAGACTCTTCTTCTCTTCGGAAGAACGACACTTGACGTAACTCATGTGCAGGATGGCTTGCGCGCGTTCAGTGTCTGCCACTCCCATGATGTTTTTCAGTTTGCACTGGTCTATGCTTTTATCTACCAAGGCGTGCATGATGCTCGTCATGCATTCCACGTCTTCCGGCTTCGACTTGGTATTTGCGAGAAACAATTCGGTGAAAGAGGAAGACGTGATGAATATGCCTAGACGAAAGAAAAATTTATTTAAAAATTTTAAATTAATTTTATTTAATTTTATACGATTTTATTCGATTAATTTTATTTCATTTTAATTTGTTTTTTTTTTTTATTATTTATTTTAATTATGTTCTGCCATTAAAATTTACATTACCTAAAACTTTTAGTGCAGAAAACTGCAAATAAGCAAGTTTGAGGGTCTCCTCCTCCAAATCCAATAGTCTCTTTTCCAATAAATTCGTTTGCAAATTATCATTGTCGTTTTCCGTTTTAGCATCGCCGCCATCTTTGATTTTAGACTCGCTTTGCGATCCGGCTATTTTTTCTGTACTCAAACGTTTGACTTCGCCCATAATGCTAGACACCATCTCGTTGGTAAGAGATTCCATGGTTCTGGGTCGCTCGTTAGGGTTTTGGTTGTGGATTTGGGAATCGGAACTGCATCTGTAAATTAGAATGATTTTTTATATTCCCGACCAAACAACTACTTCATATAATTTACCTTAAATGTTCTGGAACTGAATACTTTTGACCTCTGTTAGGTTGCAACAGCATCTGTTCGTCTTCAGTGAGGTCGAAATTCGGCATGGCTATCTCGTTGGTTATGCCGCTGAGTCGCGCGATTTGTAGCAGAACGTGCGGCGTCAAACCGATGAATTTGTTGATGGAAAACGGCGGTGGTTCGACGAATTCTAGGTTAGAAATCGTCACGTCAGATACGCCGCCGTCAGAATCCCATTGAACGTTGACGGTGGTAATGCCTTTCTTCAATATACCAAGTACTATTGCTTTCTTACCGGTGGTTTTGTGTTTGCAAATGCCACCCATTCTCATACCGCGGTCCAAGCCTTTCAACAAATTCAATCGTTAGTTCAGTGCAAAACCGTGGAGCATAGTGGATTAAACGATCATCATTATCAAGAAACGGATTACCAAACGCACTATATACAAGCAATATCCGTTATTATAAAAACTTACTTAGATATAAGATATAACATCAAAAAGGAACAAAGAATTTCTAGAAATCAAGGACATAGATTCATTATCGGAGGAGATTTTAATGCGAGGAACAATCAATGGGGATCTAAGCTAACAACAACTAAAGGTAAAGAACTTTTACTAGCATACAATCAATATAAATTAACAAAATGCCAAGCGACAATTTCTTAAGTTGCTACAAAGAAATTACCTGCAATTACTACAAGAGCCGCCCAAACATTATTGCACAACTCGTCCGTTTGTATTTCAGATTTAAATTCGCTAATCTTCTCCTGCGTCAATTCTACATCGTCTTCCATGTTGTGAGTATCTATAACCGGGAATAAACTTTCTATTTTATTCAGTCTTGTGATTAAAGCTTCATTTACGTCTTCAGTCCACGTAGCTGCGTTGTGTAACTTTCTACAAAAAAAATATAAAGTGGAGCAAAATCTGGTTATCTTGGAGGCTGTGTAAATTACCTTAAAAGCATCACATAAGATTCTATTAAAACGGCATGTAAGGGCGCCAAATTTGGTTCGCCGGGTAGCAAATCACGTTGAGTACCGTGAACTTTCATGTCGGTAATTTTGACTTTTTCATCGGGATTTGTGCTGTAGAACATCACGCAAGGATACAGCTCCGTAGCGTTGATGTTTTCGAACGCCACTCTGGGTTCTTCGCCGTTTTTTCCGAAACTTAACGTTTTCGCGTCCATGTCTAATATTACTGTGATGTAATCACCTTAAAAAGGTTTAAAAAAATTGGGGTAATATATGCCGAAACATGAATATCAGATATTACCAACGACGAAAAATCGAATTGCAAACATTCGCGGTCTCATCCACGTAGTTGTCAAATTATTATGAGTATGGGAGAGTCTTGTTACTAGGATTGTGTATGGTTATAATTCGAAATCGACTCAACGTTAATCTCTAAAATGCACGAAAGGCTTTCAAAATTACATTAAGGAAGTCTATTTGCATTCTTAATGTCAGTTTTTATCAATTTAATGTGTTTTTTTCGTTACACCTGTCATAGTTGAAGTCGATTTCCAGGAAAGTACGAAATTCATTACGTGTGAGAGCGATGTAAAGCAAGCATCGTAGCCGTAAATAAATCGAGTGCGAGCACGCCAGATAAATAAACTCGCGCAAAACATCCCCACTCAAATTGATAACCATCTCGCTCGTTCTAATGAGACAGCCGATGCGACAGCTCTGTCTGCTCGATATAAAAAACAATCTGAATGCTTGCAATAAATAAAGGCTTAATTATGAATGAATGGATTAGTCTAGTAGTTTTTCGTCATTGGATATTGATATTACTATTCAATTTTTATAGTCTAGATATTTTGAAATACATAACGAATAACAATTTTGGGTCCGTTGACTTTTTTTTTTTACCTGAAAAGGCTTTAAAATGTGCCGAGACTAGAAAAACGTCTCGCCAACCACCTCACAGTCTATATCACCATCTCAGAGGTAAGGTCTGTTAAGTCACCAAATCTACATTTGTCAGGAGATGCATATTAAAGTTCACTCATTGTTTTAACAAAAAATGTAAAGAAACGGTAAATTTAGTAAATATTGGGGTATTTCCAAAAGTCAATTGTTTGGTATTTAGATTTTTTTACTTTGTCCTAAAATGTTGACTTTGACGTGACATTTTAATAACTCCAAATTTGCAATACTTGGTTTATGACTTGTGAAGTGTTCTGTCATCTTTTGACGAAATGATGCAACTAGGGAGTTAAATCTGTTTTCCACTAGATAGAATTTGGTATGGTAAATCCACAGGTGGAGAAATCTTTTTTTCTCTGAAAAATGTAATTTAACACACCTTACCTCTAAGGTGCTGAGACAGTATTTCGAGTTTTTATGCCTTCAGGGGGACTAGTTAATATATAAACATTTCAAAAATAATATTAAAAATAAAATAGGATATATTGTACGGACCCCCATTGTGTATTTATTGAAAATATGACAATTGACATTTCTATAAATGTGGCGTTGCCAAATGTAGTAAGAAAAAGTATATGACGGGAAATAGGTCGGTTAATGGAAGTTGGTTGTTTAGTAATGGCATCAGGTCATACAGTGTAACCCAAAAATCAGAACTAAGCCGAATGATGCGATGTTTAAAATAAACACAGGACACAGGTAAACATGATGACAATTGACACGTTTTAATTAATCTGGCAACACTGCATTTCTTAAACATTCCTCATGGACGCAAAATGAGATGTCAACAAAAGTTTTAAAAAATTGTATAAACAAAAATTCATGACTATAAAAGTTTAAGAAAATAATTTCTTTCTTTACTCTATAGACATTTTTATTTAACTGGATGGTCAATAATTATTTAGCAGTTTCTACAAGAAATCAATCAAAATGTATTTTACATGTTTTTAAGATCCAGATTGGATCATACATTTGGAAATATTATGGTAAAAAAAAAAAAAAACATTTTTAAGCATTTCCAGGGAGAAAAATGTTTCAGAATGCCTAAACTAAAGAATCACGTTAAAAAAAAAAATTGCGCATTTATGTTTTGGCGGATTAAAACAAAATAATTGTAACATGATCAATTTAAAGCATATACTGTAAGAGCTAGTCGCAAAAATAATACCCGCCCACAGGTTGTTTTCTGGTTTTACGTGGATGTCAAAATAACAAATTCGGTGACACATTTTTTTAGGGTGTGTACAAATAAAGGCACCCCTAGTTATTATTAAAGAGAAGGCTGCCAGCGTTAGCAATAACTACACTCGCTCCAAGAACGTAGCAAAGAAGTTTGTTATTTTGACATCTACATAAAACCATTTTTTTAATTCAGTCTAAAATGAACCCCCTCAATTATTGCAGCTGATTCAGCCTAATAATTACCTTGAGTGTAGCTCTGAAAACTCATATCTCTTTCGCCATTATGATATAAACTACCACTGTAAGCCCTGTACAGCCACATGTCGTTCGTGGATCTATGGCTGAAATCTTTAACGGGGTATTTAGACACACCTATACACGTGCCTTCATTACCTCTATTTTCCTTCACTATGAGTATTTTCCATTGATAACAACCGGATCTTATCGCTTGTAATGCTAAACCATAACCTCGACCACCGGTACCATGAACGAGGGTCAAATTACCTAAAAACCCAGTCTTACTGGAAATAGCATCATAGTTTAAAATATGCATACCTTCAATGGTACAATTGTAACATTTTTCTGGATCGAATCCCATATCGTGAACAGGCACGTTGCCCTCCCCCTCTTTAAATAATTTGTTATCCAAAAAATCGCTTTCTGAAAAATCGCAACTGACCGCTGATGGTGCTTCGTTTACAATTTTCGGTATATTCCAAACCTGATGGTTAATTTGATTGAACAGTTTGTTGATAATATGTTTTCTTAGGTCGTCGTCGATATGGACAGCCTGCAGACCTAAAATACCAAAGTATTAATTAAGTCGTTCTTCTTTACGGTACTAAAAACCTGGAGGTGTTGAAGGTACATAAATACTCCCTATTACAAGCAAACTTACCTGGCAAAATAACCTGCAACAGCTGCAAAATCAACAATTTTGGACGCAACGTTTTCAACTGCGATGCGTAGCTCATATACAAATTCGAAGTGTCCAAAATGGCGAGCAAAGCAAATATCCACTTCTTAGAAGCCAACAACTTCTGTATAGCGTGACTCGACGAGATGATTCTTAGAAACAGCAAAAAATCACCCAAACTCCGTTCGCCATCCTTGTTAAAGTTCGTACAAATGGCGCCGGCGACGTTTTGACAACTCTCGTCGAAATTTTCTATCGATTTGACGAACTGTTCGTGCAGGATGTTGACTACGTTCTCGAGAGTGGATAGATCGATTTTTTTTGAATGGACGCAACAAGACATGGCTAAAATTCGGGTCAGTCTGAGGGCGGCTACGCTCAACAACTCCCATTTGTTTAGAAGTTTCGTAGGGAGTAATTGGAAGTTGATTAGTTTCATTAAAAGTTGCAGGAGATCGTTATTTATTACGACTGGTAAGTCGTTTGAAAGGTACCTGCAAAATATTACTTATACAACATCTCTGCTTATCTCACTCATATAATAACTCACCTAGTACTCAATGAAAATACAGTGACCAACAAAAGCTGCTTGTTATCAGAATTATTGAACGTCTGTCTTTTCAGCGATTGGGTCAAAAAGTGGTATATACCGTGCACTACAGTTCGAATTTTTTCCTGCACTTCCAAAGGCGCCGACTGTATGCCTTCCAAATAATGATGAAGTTGCGTACAAGAATCCTCGTTCTTGATGTTACAAAACCCGAAAGAACCTTCGAGCAATTGCTGCTGAATGCAATTCAAAACAGTTGGGGAAGTTTCTCGCGTTACCAAATGGTACAAAAGTTGATCCAAACTCTCAAATCTACAAGAAATGTTTTTTAAGAGATTTGGAAGTGTGAAAATGAAAAGCCCGATTCCCTATACGAAGTTAAGAAATAAGCCACTGATACAGCATCGTTGTGAAAGACGCCACGCCCAGCATGTAGTGGAATAAATCCCAGAATATCTCCTTCGTCTTTAGTTTTCTATTTTCAATATTTCCTCTTTTCTCTCTTTGCGGTTAACATTACTGCGATTCATACATGAAAACAACACTAGCAGATAAAGGAGAGACTTTAGGATTTATTCTAGTACATGGCGCCTTTCATACCAATGCTTCGTTGTTTTTCTTCTATTCTCAACTTTTTAAATGTTTCTTTGATTTGTTTGAACTTTGTTATGGGGATGGATTCCTAAATTCGTTGGGAGAATTGAGGTTTTTATTTTCTCATTTTCAATAATACCAACCTAACTAGAGCTCTATTTTTTTGTTGCACCAAAGCTCTGTAAAGCACATCGGGATCAGTACACCATCCGCTTGAGTCACTGTTGATGAAATTTCTAACTTTTTCTATTGGTTCATTTAAAACGAAACACTGGAACGAATGGCAAATTTTTCTTAGATCTCCGAGAGATGCAGATTCTTTGTTGGGTTTATAAAATTCAATATAGGGTTTTTCTATTTCGATTTCAGAATCGGAATTTGATGAATTTGGTGAAATATCAGCGTCAATGCCTAAAAATATAGTTTTTTTAATTTTCTACCACAGATAGAAATTCATGTCATTGAGAAATATATCCAGTTCAAGAAGAGAATGTCCGATAGCCATGCAGCCATCAAAGCTCTTACATAATCAGATCTTATAAATATCTCATTTAGGTCCTGGGGCACATCTGGGTGAAGGGTAAGAAGATTGCAGATAGTCTACTGTGTAGTACCTGAGGCGTTCTGCAGTATATCAATATTAGAAAAGATTAAAAATAATTGGGCAGTAGAAGAACCGATAATTGGAACAATCTCTTGAGGCGAAGACAGACTAAGATGCTTCTGGTGACTATGACCAGAAAATATCGAAAGCCTGTATTTGTTTGAGCAAACAGGCTACACATAGTAAAAGGGATCTTCACTGGGAATTGCCGACTCAAAACACAACTTAGTAAACTTGGACTAGTAGAAGATAGTGAGTTAAAAGTTATGAGGAGGACTAGGCATTCATATTCAGACTAAATGTGTGGCATTAAAGAATCCAAGGGCACTATACTAGGGATCATACTAAATAGATGTGTATGATCTATCCAGCTTTGGAACTACTCCAAATTCTAATCCTCCTTGGGAAGGTAGTTATAGACGTTGAGAATATTTCCTTGCTACCTTAGTGACAAAAAAGGATACAAGAGATATTTTAGGTCGCATTGTATCTGACATAAGTGAAATGACCAATCAACTCATTTGAACCAAATAAATAACTGGGAATGGACATAATTTAGTAGATAATGCTGAGAGGATCTGATATTGTATATAGCAGACTCTTGCAGTACACTAAAGCATAGATAAACATTGGGCTACATTAAAAAAAAAAAAACCTGATAAAATCGGAGATGAAACACCAATAAGTCTTACGTTATTTATACTTAAAACTTTGAGGACAGATTATAAAAGGGATATTAGTTCAAACATCTTTAAAGGTTGTTATTAAAATACGCAAAAAAATGAATTTTTAGACTCTACTAAAAATACCTATAAAGATTTAATTAATCACTTACCTCTTACATAAATCAATAGAAACAAGCACCTCTTCAAAATTTCTTGACAAGACGTCTTGAAACTTTGCTGGTCGTTCTCGGCCAGGAGCAAATTTTCTTTAATTAAATTCTCGGCTTGTTCATTGTCAGACTGATTTTCGGCCAATTCCTCTTGAAACTCCTCGCAATAGATCAAACCAATCATTTTCTGTCTCAAATTCAAGACGCTCTTGAAAACCTCCTTAGCCGCCGGATGATTGGGCGTTTTTTCCAACAGACCAAGCTGCCTCAATACGGTCATCAAATAACATTTAGTCACGGTGTCCAACAACTTTTTGTCGTCCTCGTCGAACTCCCAGGATTCGACTTCGATGTCCTCCATCAGTTTATTGAAAAAACTGTTGTTCGCTCTAAGCTCGTCCGGTGGTAAAGCGCAAGCTTCATCATACTGACAAGGCAAGTCGAAAACAAGCTTGCACAAACTTTCAACTGGTGACGGTAAGTTTTCTAAAGTTATTAAAATTTGTTCCGTGTATTTACTGGTGGCTAGATAAGACAGTTCCGTCAAAGCAGCTTGATCGACCGTCTCTTCCGTTATACCAGCCGAGAATATTTCGTTTGACAACCAATTCCGGCAATGGAGTTCGACTTTTGATGGCGGTTCCCCCACTAGCATACCCCCTAGACAATGACCTATTACCAGCGAGCAAGTTTTTTGCATATCTACTATCCATATCCAAGATTGTTCGGCCAATTGATCCAAAGTTGGAGTTTCGCTTCCTAGAGAGATTTTTTAAATATTTTGGTAGTTTGTTTAAAAATATACAATATACAATCTTATACTTTAATTTCATGTTTCTAATTTATTTGAAAAAGAGAAGTATTATGACAGTTATATTGTTAAGGATTGATTATTATTGATTTAATATTTATGAAATTATTTTTACATTTAAAATAAGTTTGCAGCGTTTTATCACTTGTAATTATTTTCTATTCATTCTTGTCAATACTATACTTATTTTCAATCGTCCCTTATTATACTCACTTGAAGAATCTTTTTCGTTGTTAAGCAGCTCTCTCGGCAACAATTGATTAAATCTATCAATCGGATCCATCAGTTCCAAAAGCGCGGGATACAATTTTTTCACATATAAAACAGGCATAAGCAGCAGTGAATTTAATATTTTAAACAGCATGGCGCCCGTTACCGATTCCAGCAACACGTTGTACAACAGTTCCAAACTAGACGGATACATAATCAAAATGTTGGCGGCCCTGTTCAAGATTTTCATGGCGAATTTGAAGACGTAAGTAATGTGAGTCGCGAATATGTCGTTATCGGTGTACATGAACTGATTTTTAGTGGAGCTGGTGTAATGCGCGAGCATGTGGTTTTGTAAGGAGGAGAGTAAACGCTGCAGGTTGTAGATTTTCGAATTACCCGGACTTTGCCATTTGAATTTCGTCGTTATGGACATGTAGTTTAGGATGCTGTCCAGCGTTTCTTCCTAAAATAGAAAAAAAAAAGGGTTACCCAACCCTTGACTATTTAGTATATTTGCTTAAGAAGCAATTGAGTTCCGTTTAAAACACATAAAAATTGTTACCATTAAAAAATTATAACAAACTGAAGTTAAACGTGTTTTTTAAACGATGCAGTTTTGGTCGGACGGAAGACTAAAAGAGAAACCGTTTAGGTTTTTAGTCGGACGGAAGACTAAAAGCCAACCTAGAATTAAAAAAAAAAACAAAATCGTTAAGTAGCACTGAAAACTCAGTTTACCTAGTACACGATTATGACCCATGATATGCCCATGGGTACTAATGGTGTACAGACGGCACTGTACGCTGACGATACCTGTGTGTACAAAACTTCGGAGCTGGCTGAAGTCGCGAACAGGAGGCTTGATATACACATAAATAGAACGTTAATTCCTTATTTGGACGCCAACAAGATGAGATTAAATGCTGCGAAATCCGAGAGCCTGATGCTCACGAAAAAGCGTACAGGAAGATCGCGATTAATACATAATAAGCTTAAGATCGGAGATCAGGTAATCGAATCTCAGCATTCAATTAAATATCTAGGTGTGCGTCTGGATAGGGAATTGACATTCCGAAAACATATAGAGGATAGGGTGGCAAAAGCCAATACTGCAATAAGAACGTTGTACCCACTATTTAGACGTGGCAACCATCTAAGTCGCGACAATAAAATCTTGCTTTATCGACAAGTAATAAGGCCAATACTGACTTATGGGTGCCAAGCCTTCTGTTCCATGACAGAAAGTCACTTCAATAAGCTCCAGGTAGTACAGAACAGTTGTCTGAGGCGGTCCTTGGGGTGGCTCCGCTATTCCAGGATAACGGACATGCACAGAGAGACATCCATGCCAACTATTAGAGAATACATCTTAAAAATCTCAGAGAGATTCTACAAAAATAGTCTTCCTCCAAACATAAAGGAAGACATACTTAACATCAACGAGGCAAACAGCGCGCATAGGAAGCATGGATGTCTCCACAAAGCACTGACAATATACAGACAAGTTTGAGACGTAATACACACACAAACATATACAGACTTTCCCCTGCGACAACAATACTAATTGTCCTAATTCAAGCCGACTAGCCGTAAAATCTGGTCGGACGGTGGACTGCACGGTGAATCGAAAATCGAATCGGCGAAATTCTTCGCTGCCTAGATGGACGATAACACCGTGTAATCCACGAATTAGGACAAATTAGCCATAAACTATACGGACAAACCGACATATAAAGACAACCCTGTTTTTTCTTAGCCTTTTTCAGGGAAACAAATACATAACTAACAACAGACAAATCTATGACAAAAAGTTCCATTACCGACGCTAACTAAACAACCATAAATGTCATATAATATTTTTCGGAATAAGGAGATGACATAGTACAGATCAATAAATAGAAAACACTCTATATTCATGATTGCGGGTCGATACGACGCCCATATTTCTCCTGCCCAGGCTGGAGGACAGGGGCGAAGTAAAACGATATAACGTACATGTAGATGTAAATTGTACATATGTAAATATTGTAAATAAATTATTCATTCATTCAGTTTACCTAGGATTGTCCTAGAATCGTGTTTATGTTGAATCTGTGATATTTTTCGTTTCCTGAGTAGCATAACCTCAATCTTACGTATACATATAGTATACAATTTTTTTTTGTGTTGTATCAACCAAAACGCCAGGTATTTGAAAAATGTTCACTACGGAGAATGTACTTTCTCATAGTGACGCCCCGGGCGGGGCTAGTGATAACACCAGAACTTTTTAAACTGTGTATTATAAGAAACTTAATGACAAAGCAAGTCGATTTGAACAGCCCAAGATTGTTTAAAGATAAAAATTTAGGACCCAAAAACTGTGAGTACAAAGCTTACTATTGCATGGACTAACAAAAACTAACGAGGGCAACCCAATTTTTCCAATATTTGAAAATAAGGCGAATAAACACGATACAAAATACCACCATATTTTAAGCAACAACACCGAGGCAACACAATTCGACGAAGGCATTGAAAGTAAGAAGAAACCAGTCTACAAGGTCGGCGATTCTCAAGCTGCATCAGTTTTCTCCCAACCTTCTCAAGTAACTTGGATCGTCACGATCCTATATATCATTTAAATTTTCTTTTCTTTATTTTAATCTTATAAAAGATTATAATGTATTTAAAATTGTATCCAAATAGGTTGTTCGCGTCAAATTTGCTTTTATTTTCTTTACAAAAATAAATTACATTTGAGGAACCTATTCCTAAAACCTTATGGTCCGCCAATGGTTTTACTTTTTCTTTTTTGTTCCTTTATCCAAAATAGCACGTATCGCTACTTTTTGGAGAAAAGGCTTTTTTAATATAATCCAATTTACACCTTTGGTAAGTCAAATAAATTCAAATTAAAATGAATTAAACGCCACGTGAACCAGTTTCTCAATGTAGCCCGCAGTTCACTACTTTTTATTTCGGAATCGAAAGATGAAACTCAAATAATGAACGAGGACAAAGTGTACCAAGACTTTCCATCAGCACAATTTGATGTTGCTTTTAATAAGCCCGAGTTAGGACGAGGGAAATAATTGATAGTTAAGAAAGTAAGCAGAATTCTTTAGAAAGTATGGTGAACACAATATAATCAGCAACGAGAATCTTGACCCAAATAAATGTGTGGATAACACTTATATCGACTATGGCAGAGGCATTTTCGGGAAGACAAGAATAATTCGAATCTGCTATTTATATTTTTCATATAATTGTTAATAGAATATAGAATGTTATTATTTTTAAACTTGAAAATAATGGACTCACAGTATTTTTACTAAAAGACTTCAATAACGTATGCATCAAAGTTCCGGTAAGCTGCAAATCTTCAATCTTTTCAGGTATACTACTGTAACCCAACAACGCAGCTATGTGTATAGGGTCCTCCAGGCTGTTTAAAATGATACCTAAAAGCATCTGTTGACCTTGAGAGAGTTGGTTGCCGCTAGATAAGTGCAAGTGCAAAAATTCCACTCTTTCGTTCAACTGAGGTAGGAGTAGAGGAGCCCCGATGTTCAGGACTTCCCTGGCAGTGTTGTGTATTTCGGAAGGAGCATCTATATCTACTAACCTAAAATATTAAACTTGTAAGGCATAAAGGTCCGTTATATTCCACATGTCTTACCTAAAGAGCGCAGTCCTCAATACTTTTGCATGCGTGTTCAACACGCTTGTATTCAAATTTCCGTTTATACAGAGATTCAAATGCGTGCTGAGCAATTTTAACGTCAACAGAACGAATCTGTTGTGTTCTTCAGCTGTTTTGAAAGGTAGAGGAGGATTCTTGTAACTAAAGCTAACTGTATAATTTTCTAAAAATACTTTCAAGAATCCGAACGTTTTTTCGTGTAAATCTAAGCAAAACGGTCTATGCTTGGTGATGTGCTGGCTTTCAGAGGGTATTGATGTCCACGCTATTGAGTGGGAGGTACCTAAAAGGTTTCATTTTCTACATATAAATGTTTCTTTTTTTATTCAACTTAAAATAGAAAAGTTTCTTACCCGCACTGATTTGTCTTATGGGAACCCCCTCCAAGCCGATAACTTTAAGAGGCCTAGTAATGGGACTCGAGGTATGGCCTTGCCCGCACTGTCCCATACTGTTAGTACCCCATGCAAACACTAAGTGTTCATCGCTAAGCGCCAAGCAATGAGTATCTCCTGCTGAAATGTCTATTATTCTATAAGGCGTCAGATCTTCTACCAAAAGTGGTCTAAGACATATCGCATCAGCCGATCCCATACCCAAAATGGGACCGCTACCCCAAGTGTAAACCTACAAATATTAAATATTTTAAAACAATATATAAAACCACGGAAGGATTTTCGCTACCTGTCCCATAGTAGTGAGGGCCATGGAAAACGATGTCCCAGCGCAGACTTTTTGTATAATCAATCCTTGAAGAGCTTCAATAACTTTCGGTCTGTACACTTTAGCAATTTCCCCGTGGCCCAATTTTCCGTTCTCCCCTGATCCGAATGACCAAACCGTTTTTCCGTCTTTAGACACGACCAGGGTATGAGAGCTACCGCACGCCACCATACCAACCTCTACGTCGGCGAGATCTTGAACTAAAGTAGGAACGTGTCGGCCGTTATTGTCTAAGTGGCCCAGTCTGCCGTGATCGCCTTCGCCCCACGTAAACAGCTTGCCATCGTCAGTTATTGCTGCACTATGTCTATATCCTGCAATAAAACGGTTTAAGGTCGGATGGAAGACTGAAAGCCAAAAACATCTAGGTTTTTAGTCAGACGGAAGACTGAAAGCCAAAACGACTAGGTATTTAGTCGAACGGAAGACTGAAAGCCAAAACGACTAGGTTTTTAGTCGGACGGAAGACTGAAAGCCAAAACGCCTAAATTTTTAGTCGGACGGAAGACTGAAAACCAAATCGTTTAGGTTTTTAATTGGACTGAAAACTAAATGATTTCACTTGCAGTCGAGTAAATAAAGAATAAATAATTCCGAACCTGCGTTAATATACTTGATAGTTTTCCCCAAAAACGGCCCGCCAATCCTCTCTGGCTGCTTATGGGTGGCACAATTCCCATGGCCTAATTTTCCATAATCTCCATCACCCCAACTGTAGACCTGCCCGTTTTCCATTAAAGCTAGGGTGTGTCCGTCGCTGCCTTTTGAGCTGGATAGTTTTTTAACGACTGCGTCTAAGAGTATTCGTTTGGGAAGACTTTGATTAGAGGATTCCCCTAAGCCGAGCCGACCGTAGCTGCCTTTTCCGCAAGCGCTTACATAACCATCCCAGTGAATGGCAAATGTACAGTACTGCCCAGCTTCAACCTAAATATAAACTCGCTTAAAACTTCTCCTGAAGAAACTAATATTATCTTACCTGTTGTACTTGATTAAAAATCTTTGATTTGATAGGCAACAATATTTTTTCTTGATTCCCTTCGGCTAACTGATGAGAGGAATTACTTCCCCATACGAAAACATCGCTCTTTTCGTAAATTCCCAGTTCGGAATCTGATTCCACAGCTGAGCAAGCACCTCCATAGTCAATGGCCATGGTAACTAAGACTTCCATGAGACATAAAGCAGCCTTATATATTATTATTTCCTCGCCGTCTTGGTCTGTGAGCACTTTATCTTTGCTTTTGTGACTTTCTAGTTGAGATATTGCTTTTTTAGCTAGTTTGCTACAATTTAATGCATGAGCAAAATTATTAAAACATTCGAGGTGTGGCTGGACTGATCGTTCTGTGAGCGCTTAAGATCAAACTAAATACGACACGTGACTTTCAAGTTAATTGAAAGAAGGATATGGAGATGATTGTTTTAATCAATCACTCAAGTTTTTAAGTGGTCAAAGAGGATCGAGAAGTGATCCTAGACGATGTTGCATGTCAAAAAAGAACACAAACATTAAAAACACTGACTCATTGACTCGAAAAAAGGCATATTTTATCAAAACGAAGTTGTGGTTTCTTCATAAGGAAAACTCTGATGTAAATTAAAAATATTGGTTGACATAACTGTCATTTCAAAAAAATATATAACAAATTGAACATAAATGTATTTTCTAACCAATGAAATCTAGATTTTTAGTTCGACGGAAGACTAAAAGCCAAACCGTTTAGGTTTTTAGTCGGACGGAAGACTAAAAAGTAAAATAAGTTTTTAGTCGGACGGAAGACTAAAAGCCAAACACTTTAAGTTTTTAGGTAGAAAGAAGATTAAAATCCAAACCGTTTAGGTTTTTAGTCCGACTAAAAACTGAACACTTTCACTCGGGGCTGAGTACATTTAAAATTCCTTATGAATCTTGATAAATTCGTCACATCAACGTATTCTTTATTGAAAAAAAGATATGGAGATGTGTGTTTATCATTCACTCAGATTTTTGAGTGGTCAAAGAGAGAAGGTAAGTGATCGCAGACGATCTTGCACGTCAAAAACGGATGTAAACATTGAGAAGGTTGATCTGAAAAGTATTCATGCTATTGCTGAATTTGTAGGAATCGATAAAAAAGCAGGGTTAAGCAGATTATAACAAATTAAAGTGATCAAGACGACACTTCAGCCCACCCTGCGCTATCTGTAATAGGTATTTAGCCAAGCATTAAGATCCACCCTAATCACTGTATCTTACCTAATGTGTGTTTTTTCCCCCAATGTCAAATTAGCACTGAAAGGAACCAGATTTAAGACAGTAGAGCTGTGAAAGACTAAATGAAGGAGTCCATGAACATGCTTAATAGAACTACTGTGACCAATGTTAAAATTGTTAAAGAAAACCAATAAAATATATTTATAACACTAATGATTTTTTTCTACCTACACCTTATATAGTGGCTGCCATAACTGCTGAATATTAAAAATATGCACAAGACTACAAATTAAATAAAAAAGGTAATTAAAAAAATGTTTTATTTAAATAATTTACCTAGCAAGTACAGGCTCTTTACAAGAAGCCTCTAATGCCATATCAATCCACTCCAACAAATATCTCAAAGATCCTCTTTGCAGCGCCAGACCTAGCAGTATTTCGCAAGAAAGTAATTTACCATTATCATCAGCCGAATTTTCCATTAGTACTGCTGTTTTTAGAAAACTGCAAACTTGGTCCAAACTGCTGGTACCAAGATTTGTAAGTTGAGAATCATTTGAAAGACATAGTGGTGGCAGTTTTTCAATTAAGCCCACAGCCGTTTCTAAAACAGAATTGCAAAGTGATGGAATTCCAAGAATTCCACTGAATTGCCAATTCTGTTGAAGCAAAGAGAACAGCAAACTCAATCCTGTTTTGACTCCTACTTCTAGTAAGGCTTGCGAACCAGAAATTATCTAATAAAAATAAAGTAAGTAACATTAAAATTATAACATAATTTAGTTTTTACCTCTCTTGGTACTATAGGTACTACTACAGCAGTGCTGGTACTAGGTTCACAAGTTCCACTATCAGGCTTTTCTTTATCATGATATTTCATCAATAAGGCATAATAAATTCTTTTTAAAAGTAACAGCCTTTGTTTTAAAATCACAGAAAACTGTGTGGATGAACATACGTCTTTGGCAAGTTGCAACTGGGAAGTAAGCAATGTAGTAATGTAATGATTGAGATCATTTGGTAGAGGAGGGTCATATTGAAAAGTAGGTAATACCTGAAAAATAAAGAAAATAGGCATTTATGTTGGGTTTTGAAGCTAGGATTTGTGAATAGGCCTCAAAATCTTTAAACACAAATATCGTACAATTTTTAAAATTAAAGAGATAAATACCTGGACATCACTGTAAGATGATACAGTCGTAGGAATTACTCTCACTTCTTTATTTTGTAAAAGAATATCATACATAGACTGAACGAGATCCCTGTTAGCTATGTTATCACTATTTTTTAAAGCCCATGTTGAGTTTGTATGTTCAACCCACTCCAGTTCAATATTAGTAGATGCACTTTCCATGATAACAGTTCTTTGTGATAATCATTTATAAGGTAAACAGAAATGAAATAGGTGAAAGTATTGTAAAATTATGTCGAGCATTTATTTTGTCTGCAATCACTCCGATAATAAAATTAAAGAGTAATTAAAAGCATCAAGTAACTTTCACTAAAATTTGGTTTTCTTAAATAATTTGACAAATCTGTCAAATTGTCAGAAACATGTTTGAATCCAAATTATCAAATTGATTAATATTCCATAATTTATTTAAATTAATTTTCTCTTTGCGTATATATTCATCCAGTTTTTAATATACGTGTTTAATCCTTTATTTTTTATTCATAAAATAAAAGTTATAATTTATAACTTTTTAATATGTCACTGTCAAATGTAATGATAATGAACATTTGGACTACTTAAATTTATCTAGTGAGAATTATAATAAATGGGATTAAATTAAATTCAACATTTTTTGTGATATCTTTTACTTATATTGTATACAGTATAACTACTGCGCATACTCCAAAGGTTCTGGAAGAGTTCTGGATCAGTTACGAAAGTGAACAAAAACAAAGCTATTAGAGATGTTTGATTGGTCTAAATAACATTATCATTTATCATAAACGTTCATGTTGGTTTCCGCGAAAAATACCTTTGTGATCCTGATTCCCGATTCATATTTCATGTGTATTTCTATCCATAGAACCTTATCCTTCCTAGGGATGCGCAAATTTTTTAAAACATCGATGTTGACATCAAACGATAAATCGAATACAGACTATCGATATTGTAAAAACATCGGAAAAAAAATATCGATTTTTCTAAATATTGATGTTTGTTTTTCCATACATCGATATATTTGTAAATATCGATGTTTTCCAAAAACGTTCATTCATTGAAGAGCAAAAAAAAGAATCAAAAAAAATTCAAACCATCAATTGAACGTTGAAAAGAAAATCATCGATATTAATTGAAATATCGATACATCGTGCGCATCCAGGGTTGCCAATCGTACGGTAATTACCGTACTTGTACGGTAATTTTGATTAATGTACGGTATACGGTCCAAAGGGGTCTATTCTTTAACAATTCCTTTTTATTTTAACAACCGTTAAAATATTGGCAGCCTTTAAAAATATTTTCTTATTAACTTAGGACGGATTCCACCGTTGTGTTAAACGGAGATTAAAATGACATTGTTAATGTAAAAATGTCATTTTAAACTTCGTTTAACACAACAGTGGAATCGGTCCTAATTCTATATGGTCCTAATGTAAAAATATCATTTTAAACTTCGTTTAACACAACGGTGGAATCGGTCCTAAAATAAATAATTTTTAACAGGCCTCTAAAATTTGTGTATACAGAATACCATTTTTGGTTAAAAAAATTAACCGGCCGCTAAAAGTTTAATTTTTAAAGGCCTCTAAATTTTAACACGGATGTGTTACAAAATAGACCCCAAAAGTCATTTATCGTACATAAAAGTACGGTATTTACATAAAAAGTACGGTAAACGTACGGTATTTTGAACAGAATTAGCAAAGACTTTGAAAAGACCGATTCCATTAAATTACCTAATGTAGATTAAAATGACATTGGGGATTCTGTAAAAATTCCTTTATATTTAACGGCCTTTAAAAATATTTTCTTCTCTACTTTCTGTCATTATTTAAACGGATCTTTAAAATACATTAGAGTACTATCTTAAAGAAATCTGTTTAAATAATGACAGAAGTAAATTAACGAATACAAATATACTCTTAAAGGCCGCCAATATTTTTAAAGGCCGTTAAATATAAAGGAATTTTTACAGAATAGACCCCCCAATGTAAAAATGCCATTTTAATTTTTTTAAAGCACGTTCTTTAAAAGGGCCTGGTTGGCCTTTTTTTAGAAGCTAGATATAAGGACCAGATGTTGAATAAAATAATATGACGAGGACCTTTTTTTTAGAAACCCGACAAAACGATTTACAAAATATAGTTTTTTTACAAAATAAAGTGTACGGTAATTTGAATTGCGCGGTACGGTAAATAGAATTTGAAAAGTTAGCAACCCTGTGCGCATCCCGTGTTCTGTGCGCATCCCTAATGTATGGTCTGTGCGGTCTGTGTCCCTAATCCTCCATCATGCATGTTATGTGAACCACTTGTAATTTTGAAAATTTACTTACTGACTCAGCAGATTATAACCAGAGACGCAGAGACAAAAACCAACAACTGATAAACTCTCAAACTCTGATTGGAGTGAGTGAAAAAGGTAAATATGTGCTTAGTTTTATTTTTTCAAACATTTTGTAAGTATCTTAACAGAATTTAACAGATATAAAATTATGTATTCAACAAAACTAAAAACAATGTTAAAATTTAATGTCTAACAAAGAGTGGCTTTATATGACTCGAGATTATCCACTCCACACAAAAACAATATTGAACAACTCCGTTACAATGTAACAATTTCCCCAAAATACAATTCCTTATCTTAAATGGGAATAACTTATTTTGGGCTGCCATACCTCCCGATTTAGGCGGGAACCTCCCGATTTCTCATACTCCCTCCCGCTTTCTCATACTCCCTCCCGCTTTTTAAACTAAGCTATAAACCTCCCGATTTTTCAGAAATCTAATTTACCCCGAACTTACATTGAATAGATATTAAAAAATTATCAGTCATTCAGTCCATATCTACAAAAGTAATTTCTACAAGCGCCATCTTTTATATATCTGGGGGCAATGGATTTAAAAACAAACCCTAAATTGGATGATTTCATAAAAATTGCTGATGAGTTTGCCATTGGTGTAGATATTGATCTAGGTACTTTTAGAAGAATTTGTAAAGTTGTCATCGTATTTATAGAAAACCCACCACTAAATTTTAAAGATATTAAAATTGACCAGCAATGGGTTTATTATTTTAAGAGCCACATATCTCTAAATTTTTTCAAAATTTGCTCTTATGTATTTTCTCTTCCTTACTCAAAAGCGATAAGTGAGAGAATGTTTAGTCTAATATGTCTGTAGCATGGAGGAAATAAAGAAATTCTCTTTCTTTAGAAACATTCAAATCTGAACTAATGATTAAATTTAATTATATTGTTTTGAGAAGTTTAACAATTTTTTGTTGATTTATGTATATTTTTTATAATTTATATATAACAGGCATCCAAAGTTAGCGGTCAATATTACAGAATACCCAGTTGCAGGATTCTGTAAACACAAACAGAAGCGAAGCAATAAATTATTTTTCAATATTATTTGTACTTACAGAGCTGGAATTATGTTTTAATTCAGGTGTGAACCCACCTATTGTTAATTTTGTTAAGTGTTTGTACAAATGTACAGTTGTTACATGAAGATGGCTAAAATGATACCAAAATTAAGAGTAGGTACTTGTATGTTGACTTGTTGAAAATGTTTTATTAATTGGGCATTGAAAATTGTTTTTTTGATGCTACAATATCTTTGTATAGGTATTTAATAGGCATTTGTTTAAAATAAATGTTTTTTATTCAAAAATGTAAACCTCCCTGCTTTTCATTTCTGAAAATCTGGCAGCCCTTCAATAGCTAGAGTCTAATATACACTTTTAGCTGATTTAAAACCTATTTCTTTTTCCACAGTTCTAACTTTCTGACTACAAAATATGCAGAAGAAAGTTTTTTCTTTAGCAGCTCTATATTATTATGGTTCTTAAATTTAAAATTATTGTCCAAGTTAATGCCCAGAAATGTTATTTAATATAGTGACTTCTTAATTTAATGTTTTAGTAGTGAAACATTTTAGTTTTTTTTTTTTTTCATATATTTAAACACAATGGCATATGGCACATCACATGACCAATCTTTGTTTTCCTTGATGTAACAAGTAGTGTCTGATTGAAGGTCAGTTTTTTGGCTGAAGATGATTATTCGGCTCTTGTCATTAACCTTCAGCTGAAGCAGATGCCGAAGGTTTATTAAGACTTAAAAAAATTCAGAACATTACTTGACTAAACTAAAAAGTATTATATACCAATGTAAATTGTGAACTGTTATTGCGTTTTGTGTTGACAATATATAAATTGGACATTTCCAAAAATGATAACGCATAGTTACTCAGTTTTATTAAAATATAACATAAAGGTAACATAACATAGTATAAACAAAACCTGTTTCTCTCAGAAATAACTAAATTAAAGTATTCCGAATATAAGAAACATTAGTGTCTTAATCATAAATCATAAAAAAAATAATTATAAACAAAATAATAATAATTAATAGTAAAAATCAAACAACGTTATGTTATATGCTAAAAATAAAATTTTATCGACATCTACCCGCAGTTTTAATTATATCGTTAATATAAATTAAAAAAAAGCAATGGTCCTAAAATATATTCGTTTTATTATAAGTTTCTGTTATCTATTTGTTAAATAATCAATAAACCAGATTAATGCCATTTCATCAATCCCTAAATTTCCATATTAGTATTTCCCTATCAACTGTCTCGAAAGCTCTTTGTAGGTCCAGAAATACAGTTATAATAATAATAATAATAATAATAATAATAATAATAATAATAATAAAAAAAAAAAAATGATTTTTATGTTGTTTTTCCAATCAAATAGTACACTTGTAAAGCAGTTTCACAGCTACGCTTGTTCCTAAATCCAGATTTATATTCACAGAGCAAACTATTTCCATTCATATAACTAATTGCTCATAAATAACTTTTTCCAATATTTTGGCTGTGACGCTCATCATATTAATTGCTATTTGGTACCTTAGGTATAGGAATAATGGTTGCTAGTTTCACTTCAATGGGGACCCTTCCTTGCTCTATATAACTGTTAATTAAATTTACTAAAGGATTACAAATGAGATAAATACTCTATTAAAAGCTCAACATTAATGTAATCAGGACTACCTTTATTTTTTAATGAGTTTACATTCTCTTTCAGGTTCTTCAATAGTGATACAATTAAACTTCATTAGTTTGTTATTTGTAACCATCTCAATTATTGGATACTCAGTGGAAAGAGTTTTATCAATTTGATGCGTAATTTCGTTAATACTTTTATAAAGTAAATTTAAGCAGTTGGGCATCAAATTAATGTTAGATATTTCTTCTCCATATCAATTGAATTAAAATTATTCACTAGATGAGTGTTTGTTATCTTGGACAAATTCTTTTAACGTCTTCTACATCTCATTTGGATTATTTTTGTTATGATCACTTTTCTAAATATTTTCATTTCTCTTCTCTTATTATTTGTACAGCCCTATTTTGTTTCTGTTAGTAACTTTCCCAATTCTCACTAGTTTTATTATTTCTATATATTTTAAAACTTTCATCTTTTTCCTCTGTAACGTGACTTAAGTACAGTTTTGTTCCAATATTCTTTATAGTGCTTATATAATTTTACCTGTTTTTTTAGGAGCAACTTCTTTTAAAACTGACAATATTTTCATAATAAACCGACTATATCTCTTATCCAAATCCCTTTCACTATAGTTCCAACTAATTTCCTTTAATTTTAGTCCTATCTGTTTAAAGTCTATATTTCTTCCCCTGGTTTCTAAACAATATTCACGATTCTGCTTATTTTGTTCAATATATTTCAGTGATGATGTTATATTGTGATGACTGTTTATTTTGGGTCAATCAAACATTGCAACATTCTATATTAGACAACATTAAATCTATTAAGGTCCCACCCATATCATTTACATGCATATATTCATTTACCATATTTTTAAAACCCATATCATAAGTAGTGTACCCTCTATCCAGTTTATATTAAAATCACCACATAATTATTCTATCGTTTGTTTCACCAAAATTACTCTCAAACCAATTTTCAAACAAATCCAAGAAATCTGCTATGCTGCTGCTTGGAGATCTAGCTATATAATACAAATATAATATACTTTTACTTTTAAAATAATAATGACTTCTGACAACCAATAAATTTTATCTTCTTTATAGACTTGCAATATTTGTAGTCCTCCTCATATACCAATACTGTTCCACCCACTAGAGCTGTCAGTTCTATTAACTGCATAACCACCTACACTAATTTATGAATTATATCTTCTGTTACATGTGTTTCAGAAAGGCAAACGATAGGTTTTTTTTTGTTTAATTAAATATCTAATTTTATCTATATATAAGAGCGTTAAGATGTAACAAAAAATCTATAGGACTTGCAGTTCTAGTTGCTCTGCCTCTAATGTTTCCAGAAGTGGTTCTAAAAAATTATTTTTATTGGAAGTATTTATGAACACTAAATTATTATTTTTTGTGTCATCGGCTTCAGCTACTATGGTTATTTCGCCTCATGTTCTGTGTAGGCTTTGTTACTGTTTCTCAGCGCCAAGTTAGGAACAGCAGTGTTAGCTAGAACCCAACAGTGAATGGTCAATATTTTTGTTTTGATTTTTTTATTTATTTCTGATTTTTTAGACAACTACCATTTTATCATTTATCTCAAGGTAAGAAATTGCTGTATCAGAATACATATTAAGATTTGTTGCATAATCATTCAATTTCTTATTAAATTTAAAGATGCACCTATTAATATCACTATAAAAAGTTTATGATTACTTGAATAAAATATCACCTTAACTGGACTTTTTGACTTTATTATATACTAAATTTAAATAAAAAGTAGTTCATCATGAAGCACTTATCTTATACTTTAACTTATGTAAAAATCACAATTTAAAATAATGATAATTTATTAATGTCTACTAATCATACTCTATGTAACAAACGAAATGAAAAGTGAAACCAACGAGAAGAAAAATACTACCACATACCTAAAATAATAACCACCCATATATTTCATCAAAACAAAGTGAGGACAAATATCTCCGGGGCCTCGATGCTTCTTATCGAACTGTCCTATAGCTACACCACTCTATAATTTCGAGAAATCACAGCATCGTATACCGTACGGTGATGGTAAAACAAATATACATATTCGAATGGCTAGAATTTTTTACCTGGCGATTGTGTACGTCCGCCATGGCAGTCAACGTGTTAAATTATTGTTTTTTACATTTTTATTTTAGATGAGCCAAATAGAAAATTTAATTATCTCGGATTACGTATTGAATCAACAAGTATGTGATTACTGTCATAAATACTTATCAGTAACTCCAGTCAAAGTATATCCAAATAGAAAAATAAAATGTGGCAGATGTTCAACAATCAACAAGAAAGAAGAGGACATTGGGGTAAACTCCATGTACAACAAAATTGCTGAAATAAGTATTTTCAAGTGTATTAATATGTTTGATGGATGTATCCAGCTATTAAGATCATCAGAAGTAGTCGAACATGAAAAAGTTTGTCTATCCAAAAAGTACGGTTGTCCTCTTTGTTCTGAAGAAATTTTTTCATTTCTAATGATCCATCATTTTAAACTCAAACACCCCGAATCCTTATTAAAAACTAATGATTTTCTAGTTACCAACTTAAAAAATACTAACAAATATTTTTTGTACCAATTACAATGTAATTTGTTTTTCGTGAACTTTCGTGATGTAACTAACTCAATTGCAGATGATATAATAAGTTTTTCATTGAACGTTCAACATTTGGAAAAAATAGATTGTATTAACTGGATAAAAGTTGATTTTAGTCATTTTGGGAACGATATTGAAACAATAAGCGAAATTACTTATTCAGGCTCAATGACGTTTAAAACATCTGTAATTGTTACAAACGAATCAAAGATGCTCATAAAGTTTTATTTAAATATTGTTGAAGCAAAAAATGGCATACAACACAAATTTAAGTTGAGATCTGTACCTAAAAATAATCCGGATTTGAATATATTTCACAAAAAGCTGGCAGGTAATGAGTTAAGAACTGCTTTTTTTCAAAAGCATTACGTTTCTCCGAATGAAATATTTCAAAAATCTGTTTCAGATTTGTCAATTACAGAAAATGCAACTGTTACATTTAGTAGATGTGGTAAAAAATACACCATTACATTTGCTTGTTGTAATTGTTCATTAATTTACAGTACAATTTTTATTAATCATGAAGAATTCATATATTTGATTGGAGACAATTTTCATTATTGCTTACAATGCTTACATTGCGAAAATAAATTAAGTAAAAGATTTCCTAAAAAATTTTTCACAGTTACAGACATGGAAAACATTTTATTTTTTTGCATCTGGGGTTGTGGAACACTCCATAATTATAATGACTTGTATGTACATGAAAGAATGTGTAAAAATCAAATTTTCCAGAAATGTCCCATTAAGTCATGTTTTTGTTATTTTAAGCTATACGAATTTGAAAATCACTTTAAAGTTAAACATTCATCAGTAATTTTCCAATCACCCCGTTTGAATGATAGGGAGCTAACCATATATTTAGATACTTCTAAATCTCCCATAGAACATATTGCTTTATTTTGGTTCATATGTGTGCTTGTTCAACTTGAATGGGAACAACCAAATTGGAAAATCAGTTTAACTTGTGAAATACCCGATGTAGAAATCAAAGCTAAAATATTAGATACTGAAGACAAAGAAATATCTACAATAACTGAAAGTGGTTCAATTCCACATCATGACTCAATAGAGATAGCTTTATATTTGGTAGATACTAAAAAAAACTAACAATTTTCATTATTCATCTTAAATAATAAGAAATTAAAAAAAATTGGGAAGATCTTGAGTTTGCGGTTTTAATTGATTTCGGCTCCAAATTGTATGGCTTTCTTTAGTGTTTTTTATTTTTATTAAAAAAAAAATATTTTTTTCAAAATGATTATAGAACACTTTATATTTGTGAAGTTATTCGGGATTTTCTTATAATATTTTAAAAGAAGTTGTTTATGTAAGGTGTTTGCCAGTAGCATATTCATGTTAGATACTTTGTTGTAAAGAAAAAACTTGACTATTGGAACACAAAGCGTCATTTATATTATTAATATTCATTGAAACCCACAGCTGTTCAGCCTAAGTTTCTTCTAAATTCAAAATATATCACTGAAATTAAAAATATTGCCTAGCATATCTAGCAACCCTTTCTACTGCACTTGTTGGTTCTATTTCATCAAAAAAGTATGTATTACTATCCTGGTAAAGCAACCGACTTGTTCCTCATTAAAGTGTTAAATCATGAATTAGATACTGTGATTATGTCTAAGTGATTATGTACATCATTTTTAAATTCGATAAAATTTTACAACATTCGGTTTTTGAATTTGATTCTACCATTTATATTGCAATTTAATTTATACTGTATTCACATGCGATAACCACCAAGTATGGTTGGGTTAGTTAACTAAACTTCACTTTGAAAGCATTTGCAAAGAACTACAGAATAAAATATAGTTACACTCACATGTATTCTTTTTTCTAAATGATTATGTATTAATCTACTGAACGGATATAATTTCATATCTGTTCCAGAATGAATATAAAATCAGCCAATCACATTTTAAATTCAGTAACCGGCTAACTATTTTAAAATTTCAAATTATAGTCACAAATCTGTCAATTTAATTATTGTTATTATATATTTTTAGTTATTACAGTTAAAGTAAATTAAAATTGAGTGATTCTGTTGAAGAATCGATAAATAGTGACAATTTATAAGATATTCGTAATTTTTTTAGAGAGTCTTAGAAAAAATTACTATACAACTTGTGTGGATTGAGCACTCCGCATCGATATCGACTTTTATTACATAAACTACTATTAATTAAGACAGTTCTCATCCAGTAGAAACTTTCTTAAAATTGTCAGATCCGTTTTCCTTCTTTAGTTCTGTGACAATGCCACTACAAGGTGTATCATAAAACAAATGCTTAGCATTTTTTTTTTTAATTTCGAAAAACATGTTTCTAGGCTTTTGCAGCACTTTTTTGTATAGTCCAACTGAACGTTCTTTTAGAAGCAAAATTTTGATTTATTTTGTTTCTTTATTGTATTTATTTTGTTCGTAGAATATCGTACATCATTTTTTAAATTTATTTAATCTAGAATGTGTTTCATTTCATAAGTTAATTAAAGCGTTTTTTATATTCTAGTATTTTTATTATTAGTAGTAAATGATTATCCCACTATCTCAAATATGGTCAAATGTTTTATGTGTTACTGTATACATGTTTTATTTATTATTTGTTTTAAATTCTGAAGAATAAATAAAATAAGTAAAAAAATACGCGTGGCACTCGGGGACTGCCGCGGTAAAGCTATTGCATAGCATTTTTTATCAACTCATGCAATTATAATTATTTATTTATTTTATTTATGCAGTATTTTTTTTTCTTTGATATTAATTCAAGTTACACTTTTTGAGCGTGGTGACCGATAAGAAAACATTTTTTTTTCTTTTATTGAATAAATGAGAAGTTAATATTGTTTAAAATATTTTTATTATCCTACGTTGGTTATTCAGGATTTTTTATCATTGAAACTATAGGTTTATGGTAACTGAAATAAGAAACATAAGTTTGAAACTTGATATCCTCTAAATATCTGGAAAATACCGCGTCAATGGTGGTCCCATATTTTGTTGTGGATTCTTGTGGATCATTATTCATTTTCAAATTCAATTTTTCCGACGCGTATGTCTAGTCGCACGCACACAAACACCGTGCCGAAGTCTGCCGAACTGAAACGACGTTAGACGATGCACGGCTTTCAACGCCGCACCGCTGTGCCGGTCGAAGTGGGAGGTGTTGGGTTTATTTTCGTTACGGAATTTCTTTTTCGATTTTCAGGTTTTTCGATTTTTCGATTTTCTTTTATTGAATAAATGAGAAGTTAATATTGTTTAACGCCGCACCGCTGTGCTGGTCGGAGAGGGGGGTGTTTTTTTTTTTCGTTACGCTACGGAATTTCTTGATTTGGTCGCCGCGCTCAAAGCCCGTGATAAAAGCTATGCAATAGCTTAATAAACGTTTCTTTGGATCAACTCGAAACACTAAACACAAGAAAATAACAATGACAGGAAATGCAATGAGTAAAAAAGCTTACTACGCTACTGAATGCAACTGTGCAGTATTATAAATAAGACGCTGGGAGGTCTACTGCCTACAAATTCAATTTGGTTTCTGCGCATTGTAAAGTAATGTACTCTACGGATAATAATCAAGCTTCTACTGTGCTATTTATAATTAATATAAATTGTTCTAGTAGTCACGACCGGTTGCTCAGTGCTCTTATACTTTCGAGAAACCGTAGCCGTCGTATAGCGTGGTGATGACGAAAACAAAATGTATAAGCTCGGTAGGCTATAAATTTGTACCACCGCGGTATTATAAGTCCGCCATGGCAGTCAGCTTGTTAATCATGTTTTTACATTTTTATTTCAGATGAGCCAAATACAACACCTTACCCAGCTAGCACAAAAACATCCCATCTACGTTAATAAGCTGCAATTTTAGGCTCTTTAAGCTCGCATGCAATGTACTGTTAATGTAACCCTATCATCCCTGCAACCACCGAATGTCCGCAACGGCAAGACTTTTATAGCACATCTCACAGAAGTTAAAAAGTGAAGTTCGGAAAACATCACACTAGCACTTTTACGGTACTTACCCTGAAAGTTGCTCTGAAACTTTCTATAGATGTTATAATGTGAATTCATTCTACAGCATTATACAGTGTGTCCACGGATGGACTTAACAATACTTGTAAAAATATTTATTTTAAATTTAAAAGTACTTCTTCATAATTTCTTTTGCTTGTTAAATAAATACGATTAACGTTGAGAAATTATGAAAAAGACCTTTTGAAAAATTTAAAATAAATATCTTTACAAGTATAGTTATGTCCATCCTTGGATACACTATATTCAAAATAGTATATTGAGGATATAGTAAAATCTGAAGAAAACAAAATAAAAAATTGTATAAATTTATTATTAAAAAGCTTTTGAAATCAAGAACCAATATCATACAAGTAGAGGTAGGTATTAATAATATAGGTAAAAAAAACACTGGACAAAAGTTGGTATAAAGGGTATATAAGGAATATCTCAAAGTTTCACTAGAATCGAAAACACTGAACGCTTACACGAAAGAGTGTAATAAGGTACCTATATTGCAAAGGTTCACTGGTAGCTAAAATGGTGCACGATTGTACAAAAGTAGTAAAAAGTGTATTTATATAAGGTATATTTCAAAAGTCACTAGATTTTTATTAAGATGGCAGTTATAGGATGCTAAAAAAAGATATTTGCCTACAACTGGTACTAATCATAGTTTTAATATGATATAACTTGCTTAAACTGAATATTGATAAATGTAAAGTCATAAGGTTTAATAAAACAGCTAATATCATTATGCATGATTGTCATTGCAGGTTCTGAACTAAGTTTTGAGCAAACTATAAATGATCTTGATGTTATTTTTGAGAGGGACCTATAAGAGTTTGGAATGCAGATGTCGAGAAGCATCATTTGTTTTCCTGTATAAGTTATTGAACGGTTTGATTGATAGTGACAGCCTGGTACACTTTATTAGATTCCTTGTTCCTGCCAGACTTACTAGGTATATGAAACTATTTTATGTAAATGCTCATAGAACTAACTATGGACAAAATTTATTTGTAGACCAACTGATGTCCAATTACAATAAGTATTTTTCAAATTATGACATTTTAAAAGGTTTATTTTTTAAAGTGTCAACTTTTATTACACTATTGACTTCATTTTTATACTGTGACAATTTTATTAATTTCTTTTTTATTTTATTTTGATATTTTAACCATTTAGAACTTTATATATCAGTAGCGTACTGTAAACAAATAAATATGTGAACTTAATTACATAGTTTCTTCCGTAAAAATAACTTTGTAGATAATAAATTTACTTGTTTAATTATTATTAAGAAAATAAAAAATATGCTCGTTTAAATCGTTGCACCTATTTTTAGTTGATTTTTACTTACTTTGTTTTTTTAAATAAATAATAACATTTATTTTGACTTTTACAAATTTTATACTTAATAATGGATGTTCAACTTATACAGAACAATGTTTTTTAGCATGATATTCTGCTATGAAAGAAAAAGAAATAATCTCAGATGTTATATATTCTTCTTCAACCAATTCTGTATTAACTTTAGCTTCTAAAATTCCTGAGATTTTTACTAGAATTATAATCCAGCACAAAGGAAACCTAAAACACAATATTTTTAAAATTTATTTTTAGTGATTAAAATATTATTACACTAGGGCGACCATACTTACAGCAATTTTTCTGTATTGTAAAGCATTTTTAAAGTTTGTCCAGCAATTGGTATTGTGCAGCAAACGTACAGCAAAATGGCATAGGTATATATATCCAGTGAAATGCTGCATTTATCCACCAAAACGTCACTACTGTCCAGCAATGGTAATACTTAATTTACTGAAACGTAACAAATTTAAATGTTATTTATCTTTAGTGAACTACATGAGCACTTATATACTGCTGTTCTAGCAAGAAAGGTTTTATCTGCAAAATTAGCAGTTTTTTTATGTGTATTTGTCTACATTTTATCTTTCTCGATACTGAAAAGGAATGTCTTATTTGTAACAAAGGTACTAAAATGTTAAAAAGTTACACAAAAAAAGGTTTAAAAGATAATAAATATAAATTTTCAGATAGGACTTCTCTTGTTAGGATGGCAGTATATGACTTCTCTGTTTTTGTATAATTGGGAGTAGGGTTGAGTATTGGTCAAAGGTATCAATACCGGTATCATGTGAGATACTTTGTGGTAGAGGCATCGATACTGTTCGATATTATGTTAAAGATATTGATATTTATAAGTCTCGAGTAACAAAGTATCGAAAAAGTAAAAGATTTTTGTTAAACGGCTGGCAACCCTCATTCAACAGGACGGAGTAGGCAACTTAACTAATAACAAGAGTGCATCAGTAAAGTATATTCTGTAGTCGACACCTTTTCTTTCTCTACTGGTACTCTACCTGGTACAAGTTATAGTGTCAATAACTGGCAATTTACCTTATAATTAAATAACAAAAAACAGTAGTAACGTTTAATCATATTACCAAGTTTCACCACATGCAAAAACTAAAATATTTCAGTACAAATATTTGAACAAACCTTATAATCTCTGACCACACACATATACAATACTTGCTTCTAAGTATCACTATGGCGATAGTATTGGTAATTCAGTGCCTAAATATCGATACTTTCATTGTTTAATATCGTTACTTCTATAGTATTAAGGCATCAATAAGATCCCTATTATCGTGTAAAATAAATATTTCATCATTTAATTGTATCTACTTGTTTACAATGATTTATTTTTTATTGTATTTGGAAATTGAAATTTTACCATCTAAAACAACAGACAATAAATTAGAAAATTAGAAAATTTATTGAAAAGAAGAAAACAACTTACCAAACTTATTCAAACGTATAGTTTCCAATTTTTTTAAAATCTGAAATACGTACAAGAAAAAGTGACAAGTGACATTTTTTTATGTTTTGTTGGTTACGACAAACGAATGGCTACGTTCGAAAGTCCATAGTACTTCTCGTGGAAACTTTTTTAGCAAGTTACTTAATTACGTTGTGTTATCATAACAGGCAGGTTAAATACTTAAGTAACAATTAGATGTTTCGCGAGGTTTTGATTTCCCTCAACAACTTCTCATTAACGTTGCAATTACGTTGTATGGGTATGTTATTATGTTCCCTTAAAACAACATCGCCGAAAGGCTTGGTAACGTTATGTGCTAGCTGGGATATTATATCGGATTACTTCTTGAATCAACAACTATGTGATTACTGCTATAAATACTTATCAGTAACTCCAGTTAAAGTATATCCAAATAGAAAAATAAAATGTGGCAGATGTTCAACAATCAACAAGAAAGAAGAGGACATTGGGGTAAACTCCATGTACAACAAAATTGCTGAAATAAGTATTTTCAAGTGTATTAATATGTTTGATGGATGTATCCAGCTATTAAGATCATCAGAAATAGTCGAACATGAAAAAGTTTGTCTATCCAAAAAGTACAGTTGTCCTCTTTGTTCTGAAGAAATTTTTACGTTTCTAGTAATCCGTCATTTTAAACTGAATCACCCCGAATCCTTTTTAAGAACAAATTATTTTCTTATAACCAACTTAAAAAATACAAACAAATCTTTTTTGTACCAATTAGAATGTGATTTGTTTTTCGTGAACTTTTGTGATATCACTGACTCAATTGTAGATGATATGAGAACTTTTTCATTGAACGTTCAACATTTGGAGAAAATAGATTGCATTAACGGGATGAAAGTTGATTTTGTTCATTTTGGGAAAGGTATTGAAACAGAGACTTCAAACAAAATTATTTTCTCGAGCACAAAGACGTGTAACATATCTGTAATTGTTACAAATGAATCAAAGATGCTCATAAAGTTTGATTTAAATATCGTTAAAGCAACAAATGCCATACAACACAAATTGACTAAAATAGAAAATAATTTGAGATATGTACGCCAAAATAATACGAATAGAATAGAACATAATTTAAGATGTGTACATCAAAATATTCCGGATTTGAATATATTTCATAAACATCTGGCAGGTAATGAGTTGAAAACTTTTTTTTTAAAAAAACGTTATATTTGTCCGAATGAAATATTTCACAAATCTGTTTCAGATTTGTCTGTTAAAGAAAATGCCACAATTACATTTAGTAGATCTGGTAAAAAATACACCATTGCGTTTGGTTGTTGTAATTGTTCATTAATTTCCATTGCAGTTTTTGGAGATAATGAAGAAGTAATCGGTTTGATTGGAGACGATTTTTGTGATTACATGATATGTTTTCCGTGCTCCGTAAATTTTAAAAGTAAATGGAGTAATAGAGTCTATAAAAAATTTTTCACAAACACTGAAATGAAAAACATTCTATATTTTTGCATCTGGGGATGTGATACACTCCATAATTTTCAGAAGTTGTATGTTCATGAAAGAAAGTGTAAAAATCAAATTTTTCAGAAATGTCCCATTGAGTCATGTTTTTCTTATTTCAAGCTATACGAACTTAAAAATCACTTTAAAGTTAAACATTCATCGGTAATTTTCCAATCAATTGATTTTAATAATAGGATTACAACCATATATTTAGATACTACTAAATCTCCCATAAAATATATTCTGTTTGTATGGTGTATATGTGTGTTTGTTCAATTTAAATGGGCAAAACAAAATTGGGAAATCAGTTTAACTTGTGAAATACCTGATGTAGAACTGAAAGCTAAAATATTAGATACTAACGAAAAAGAAATGGCTACCATAACTGAAATTGGTTCAATTACACACCACGACTCCGTCAGAATAGCTTTATATTTGGCAGATACTAAAAAAATAAACACAACATAACTAAATTGTCATTACTCATCTTAGTAATTACGAATAAAAAAATGTGACAAATAAAAGTTGAACAAGGAAATGAACTTTATATTGTCACTTTAAATTTAGCCATAATCAAACTTTTTCCCTTATACAGCGGCTATGGTATTTTACAAGTACGGTGGGTGACTTATTACGAGTTGTTGTACCTAAACGAGTACTGTAATATCTTGGGGACCTGTAGGTATCGTATAATATTTTATTTCATCCTGTTTTTATAATTCTTTTTAAAAAGAAGATACGAACTATATCTAAATAGTATTAATAGGTATCAACAGATATAGGTCCAAACAAAATAAAAATTACTAATGAACCTTTCCCGTTATTGATCTCTATTACTCATGCGCAAATTCTACTTCCGCTCAAAATCATCAAAATTTATTCAAATGTCTTTTTGAGTTTGATATTAATGGTAGGGGAGCCAGTGACACTTTGAGGTGTGTTAAAAGGTAACATTTTATTACAAATATATCGTCCATTCGTATAGTTAAACCAGAGATCTAGTGACTACCATAAAACAGCAGGTAATTTACTTGTCAGCAGGCGGCCGTCTCTAGGCAGAGATGCACCTCTTCTAGCCATTAAGTTTTGTTCTATAGGTCAATAATTGGGGTAAAATAAATATTAAGAAAAATCTCTATAATTCAGAATTGTTTATTTAATTATACAGTGTGTACAAAAAGTAACGTAGTAACTTGGTAAAAGCAAAAATCAGTATGACAAAGTACGAACAAGTAGCTAGGTCACCCTTACCTTTGTGGAATCTATTCATAATAAATAAAATATTAAAATATGAAATGTAAAAATTCCACTATTGTCAATCCTGACGATAGAAGTTTATGCTTCTGAAACAATTGTTGATTTTGTATTACTCAGATAAGTATTTTTATTAATATAGTGGAATTTTTACATTTCAATTTCTAATATTTTATTTATTTAAACAAAATTACTCACGAAGTTCAGTTTCACTTTCACTATCGTCATCCAAATTAGTAATGAACCTTTCTCTTTGTATTTTTTCTATATCAATATGTCTTTTCCACCTTTTTTATATGGGAAACACACTTGGTCCAGCTGCTATCAGGAATTTTTGCAGCTTGTTTGAATAAGAGCTACCACAGTCGAACTTAAGGTTGGAGAAGTATTATTTCTTCGAACTACTGACTTGAGCTGATGCCATATATGTTCAATTGGGTTAAATATACAGTGGTAAGGAGGAAGTCTGAGCACCGTATGTCCCAGCTAATGTGTCACAAAAATATTTCTTTTTTATTGAATAGCTTTTTAAAACTTTCAGTAACTGCTTTTTTGTGTAATTTTCCTCAAAGTACAAATCATCATTTACTATGTAATCTTTTATGATGGCTTTTATGTCGTTTGAACAAGGTGCCTTATCTAGTCTTCGATTGTGGTAGCATCCATGACGACATAACACTGTTGGGTGGAATATTTGGCAAAAGTTTAGTTTGGAACCAATCTTCAAATAATTCAGCAGTAGTGTTGTCATGGTAATCGACTAAGGAGTCCTTAATATTTTTTGCCGATAACGACAAGGTATAAAACCATTATTGGTTCCTGCGTGGATTATAGTAATACGTTTGCCTTTATTATGTGGCGCATTAGTCCGGCACAAGTCAGATGAGTCTACCCAACTTTTGTTTGGAATATCGTGTGTATCGAACCAAGTTTCATCCAAATACACAACTGTTTTGCCATTCTCTAAAATCATTTATCGCCAATACATATTGAATCTCCATTGCCTAAGGCGCACAGATTACATTATGCTGTTAGTAATTTTTTAAATTTAAACCCATTTCTTAAAAGAGACTTCCTTAAAGTCTCTTTGCTACACTGGATACCAGTTTCGTCCTTTTCAAGTCGTTGCATCAATATATCTAGTGTAGGCACAATTTTCTCTCTATACAAGTCATATATTTTCCTTCGAATTAGGTCTACATCACAGCCATCTAGTTTCTTTGAAGTACCAGTCTTTTCTTTTCCTTCTTTTCAAAATAGGGTTACTTACTATTTTAAATACTGTAGAATACGGCGTTTTTTTTAAAGAGACAGTTTCTCGCACTTGTTGAGTCTTGGTCATTCCACGTTCCATAAGGGAGGTATAAACACTTAATATTTTTTTCCCATCATATGTAAAACTTGTCGATTAGTGGTATTACCACCACCAGTTGAAGTACTGGCTGCACGTTCAACCCAAGGACGGAACATTTTTCACTGTATAAAATGTTTAAGACACTTCGAAATAAACGCAACTGACACAACGGAATATTCGTTAATAACTGAATTTAGTTTAACTACTATCCTCCTTTCGTTTCTAAAAACGGTAATTGGTCAGTTCTCAAAACAGTTACATACCAACTAACTCCCCATTATTTATTTAACTTTCTCTAATCTGTCTGGAATTATATTGGACTCGATATCTTAATAGTATTCTTGTCTTCAAAGTCTGGTAATTTATTTGTAACTAACTCTATATCCCATTATCGCTAATCTCCTTAATAGACGTTTACTACAGAAAGTCAGATGGTCGGGCAAGAAAATTTTATTCATAAGTATTTTAAATTATAAAAATAGTTTTACATTCAAAACTGTTATTAAAAAAAAAAACATATTCTTTACTATTTCATGAGAATATATATTTTAATCTGGACCTGGGAATCTAACCAACAGACAATTTTATCGCTTATCTACAAATGGAACAATAGTGACAATGAGGGTCGCACAATATATCCCCTATAGTAATCACAGACCATACCCTTTAAAGATGGGCCACTCAACAGTGAAAAATTTTACTCATCTTTCAGCGCCATCCGTAGCGGTTGCAAATAGTTGAGTTAAAAAAAAAGAAGATAACTAATAATTGAAAATTTGTTCAAGATTTATTATATAGATGGCGGTAGGGGTCAATGAGCGCGGGTTTTTCAAACTCGGCCTTTCTAATAAACCACTACTAAGTTTTCAAAATTATAATTTTTCGTTCTTTTTTACTTAAAATGATTCAAACATTTTATTCTTCACTCAACATACTTAGATGGATATAATCCATTGGGTTATGTTCTGTGATAGATAAAAATTTGAAATATTTTAAGTAAAAAAGAAAACGAAAAATTATAATTTTGGATTTATGGAACAAAAAATACATCTTATTATGAAGTAAAACACGATTATAACCATATATTTTATATTATTAGAATTAAAATTGCACGAATTCTTATTACAGTACACAATAATAAAGAAATATGAATATAAAACTATTGCGAAGTTCACCCATGGTTGTATCCAGTAGAAGTTGTAACGAAAGTTCCTGGGGAAAGTTGGCTCTGGCTGCTGTTGGGTGTACTTGTCACTTCCTATTGCAGTGTTTGCTGATTCGTTTTCATGTAAAAAATGAAGAAGAGTATCAGTTAAAAAATATAAAGTTCAATTTTATTATTTTTGTTTTGAGTCAATTCAGCTGAGCTATTAATTTATTAGCTAGTGAGAATGAATCGGCATTTCTTAAAAATATATCGTAGAAGATTTTTCAATAAAATGAAGGAATTTGAATTTAGTAAGAATGCAACTTTTATTAATTGGAATCAATAAATTGTGAATATACCTAGGTGGTGAGGTAGGTCACAGTATATGGAGCAAAAAATAATAAGAGTCGCACAATATAAAATATACAATTATTGGTATGTTTGAAAAGTACCTCATTTTGAATTCGGAAAAAAAATTGTATATAGGTATCTACTATAAAGTATCCATTACATATTGTATAATTCTAAAAAAATACTAATAACACTATTTATTTCAATCTTCTTAATATTCACATATTTTATCTAGTTACTGAAATTGTATAGAAAATGATAAAAGTTAGGTTAAGATTTTTAATTTTTCCTAGAAAACATTAGGTTACCCGCATTATTTTGGAAATTTATTTCACAAATTGGGTACTTTTAAGTAATAATATATGCTCTTAAAATTTGGCAAAGTATTTAAGAATAAAATACAAAAAGAAGTTTTTACTTGTAAAGAAATAAAATTGTAAATGTATTCCTTACCTGCGACTAACTTTATCCTGACAATCTGGATCAGCACAAGGACGAATTCGCACCATAATTATATATGTTTAAAGCTTTAAAAATTATCTTCGAAAAACTAACCTAATAAAACAAATCAACTTAGCTGTTGAAAGTTTTAAATAACAACTTGCGTACACTTGCGTTACTCTGAATCTGCTCGACGAATGCAACGAGCAAACTTTGTGTAAGTAGCGCCATCTATGGGTGGTGCACAGTACTACAACACGAGTAAGCATTTCCCTATTAAAGATCCCCTAGCCTGGTAATGTAACTGGGATTCAAGAAATGGCTTTGAGTTACGCTGCGGCCAGACACAGGTCTCATGGCGCTAGTATCGTTATTGATTTTTGACATCGGCACGTTCATTGGTTGACGACGAATTCAAAACAATCTGATCGGAGCGTTACTCACTCCCACTCCTTCTCTTTGTTTAGATACTTATAAAAGAAAGAGATACCAGTTAATAATTTATATTTCGAATCATCTTTCATTCTTTAGCGTTGAGTTTTTATAAGTGAAGCGTGAAGTGTCAGTGTTGACAAGTGATAATTTTTTGATTTTTTCTTCTACAAAATTTAATATTAATTTTGTTTCAGCGATATTTATTGTGATTTGTGTTGTTGTATTAAGTGCTTTCTTATTTAATATGGGAAACAAAACGTACAACAAACTCAGAAAAAGAGGAATCGAGGAGAGATTGCTATCTATGGCTGTCATCCAAGGGTCTGCGCCCTAGATAATACTTTTCCAGTGGAAAAAGCCTTTAAAAATCAAGTATAACAATTTTATGTTTCCGTTTTCCCTTCTTTTAATGTAGGTGCCAATTTTGAGGTAAGTTTGTAATAATTTTTCAGTTAATACCTACCCTCTTAATATTATAATTTAACTATGATCTTATGCTTTCCTATGGACACGATTCAAGGAGGGAGTCCTATGGCTGTCATCCAAGCCCTAGATAATAGTTTTCCAGTGGCAACAGCCTTTAAAATTCAAGTATAATAATTTACTTTTTTCGAAGTAGATGTCCATTTAAACTAAATTTTTTTATTTCACTTATTGATGTTAGCATTTATATACAGTATCGGCTAATGAACACTTTCCAATACGCTTGGCTAGAATCAAAAATAAAACTAAAGAGTTAGCGCATTAGTTCGATCAGGAAACAAATAATATGAATGTTGCCTTGTGTGCTGTGTAATATGAACAGGCACACGGTGTGATGCATCCCCACGTAGCCGGCTGGCTACGTTCATAGTATTATATTCCTTCTCCCACTAATGCTAACTCTTTGTAGTTTTTACTTGGACATTAGCAAAACGTATTGTACAACATTCGATAGCTGCCACTGTATTATCACAAACATCTCTTAATAACTAAATGATTTCATTTAATAGTTTCTTTTTTTTTTTTTTCAGTAAAATGGATATGGCTAGAGTTATCTTCGTCTTTAAAATATATTAAATAAGTTTTATAATTTTTCAAATAAAATACTTTATACAATTTTTTGTTTTTTTACCAGAGCCAATTTTTTTTCAATCTAACCTCTATAGGTAAAAAATAAGTGATTTAGGTAAAATTGAAAAGTATATTACATGTTCTTTTAAATGTGTTGTTAATCCAAATGCTGCTCTTATTGTAATAGCTAATAATAAAAGAATTAGTATTATTTTTAGCTATCAAAATAAAAATAGCGCCTGGATTTACAGCTCGTTTAATCGAACATGCAATATACTTCTCAATAATTATTGCCGAATGAATATATTTAAAAATTCCCGACATTCCGCGGCTGAAAATTTACAATTTTGGCGGGAAATTTAAATTTCGCCTTTAAATTATATTTGAATTTACCGCCATATCGAGTTAGTTGAGCGGCCAGACACAGACGCATTCTTGCGCTGCAAACTTAGTGCCAACTCTTTAACAAGTGAGATGCACTACTATAGGGGATATATTGTGGAGGGTCGTCGGCTAATATGATTTACTATACCTTGTAGAACATGGAAATAGTTTACTACGCAGCATCGAGATAGAATAAAGTAGAGGCGGCATAAACACTATTTTGTAATATGACAAATGGACGCACTTCAAGTGACGGAAAAGTGTAATGAAAATATAATGAACTTTTTTTTTTTAATCAAATATCATGAGAGATCTGTTTTTTACATGAGACAAAAAATGCTGCAAATAAATACAGCTAAGATTAGGGTGGTTCTTAACCTTCCATAATTTTAGTTAATGTAATTTTAGCTATGAGCAATGGCTCTTCGTTATTATAAAATTTAGTATGAAGCTATTTTAATTGAAGAGCCATTGTCCAAAGCAAAAATTACACCAACTGAAATCATGGATTATTTTCGATTAATTATTTTTTATTAATAAATTATTTTCGATAAATCGATTATTTTCGACTAATCGATAAGTTTTT